TACGAGTCCAATGGCGTGATAGGGGCGGAACAAAATGGCGAATGCAGGAATTCTTCATCCAATCATAAGAACAAAAATGGAGACGGAACTTAGCTGGTAAGATGATTCACTTCGGCGACTCGAGGGCAATAAAGGGCGACTGATACCACCTCGACTATCCTAGTACCCGGATACAAATTCAACATTTTTCGAGCCAGTTTTTTTTTTGACAATTTGACAAAGGGTTACGAAAAATTGGCATCAAAATGGGAACTCTGTATCCGGGTATCAGGATCACCGAGGAGGTATAAAGAACATTAAATGTTTTCAAAATCTGGATACTACGACGTCCAATGGCGTGATAGGGGCGGAACAAAATGGCGAATGCTGGAATTATTCGTCCAATCACATGAATAAAAATGGCGACGGAAGTAGGTAAAGAACTTAGCTGGTAAGATGATTCACTTTGGCGACTATTAAGTCAATAGTGGGCGGTCGATACCTCCTCGACTATCCTAATACCCGTATAAAAATTCAACATTTTTCGAGCAACAGGTTCACCAAAATTGTCATCAAGATGGAAATTCCTTATCCGGGTATCAGGACCACCGAGGAGGTATAATGAACATTCAATGTTTTCAAAATCTGGATACTACGATGTCCAATTGCGTTATAGGGGCGGAACAAAATGCGAATGCTGGAATTCTTCGTCCAATCATAAGAACAAAAATGGCGACGGAAGTAGGTAAAGAACTTAGCTGGTAAGATGATTCACTTTGGCGACTAATAATTCTATAGAGGGTGGTCGATACCTCCTCGTTTATCCTAGTACCCGGATACAAATTCATTTTTCGAGCAACAGGTTCACCGAAATTGTCATCAAGATGGAAATTCATAATCCGGGTATCAGGACCACCGAGGAGGTATAATGAACATTCAATGTTCTCCAAAGCTGGATACTACGATGTCCAATCGCGCGATAGGGGCGGAACAAAATGGCGAATGCTGGAATTCTTCGTCCAATCATAAGAACAAAAATGGCGACGGAAGTATAGAACTTAGCTGGTCAGATGATTCACTCTGGCGACTCGAGCGCAATAAAGGGCGACTGATACCACTTCGACTATCCTAGTACCCGGATACAAATTCAACATTTTTCGAGCCACAGGGTTTTTTTTGAAAATTTGACAAAAGGTTTACGAAAATTGGCATCAAAATGGGAACTCAGTATCCGGGTATCAGGATCACCGAGGAGGTATAAAGAACATTAAATGTTTTCAGAATCTGGATACTACGACGTCCAATGGCGTGATAGGGGCGGAACAAAATGGCGAATGCTGGAATTCTTCGTCCAATCATAAGAACAAAAATGGCGACGGAAGTAGGTAAAGAACTTAGCTAGTAAGATGATTCACTTCGGCGTCTCGAGCGCAATAAAGGGCGACTGATACCTCCTCGACTATCCTAGTACCCGGATACAAATTCAACATTAGAGCGACAGGCTTTCGGCTATTTGACAACAGGTTTACGAAAAATTGGCATCAAAATGGAAATTCTGTATCCAGGTGTCAGGATCACCGAGGAGGTATGAAGAATATTAAATGTTTTCAAAATCTGGATACTACGACGTCAAATCGCGTGATAGGGGCGGAACAAAATGGCGAATGCTGGAATTTTTCTTCCAATCACATGATCAATAATGGCCACATAAGTAAAGAGCTTTGCTGGTAAGATGGTTCACTCTGGCTACTCGAAAGCTATAGAGGGCGGCTCATACCTCCTCGACCATCCTAGTACCCTAATACAAATTCAACATTTTTCTAAGGTACTTACCTGGGAATGTGTTGGTTTACCTTCTTGACTGGATACTAATTTAACGTCTGAAGCTTGTTCAGCATCAGCGCCTCATTCAACAAAACGACGGTTTTGTAAGACGGTATAGCATCACCGTTTAGAAATACTGGAGGTTTAAAATTCTGAACATTGTTTGTTGGAGTCAGGAAGTTCAAAGAAGTTAGGTGACAATATGTACCACTTGCTGACACAGCAAATGAGGGTGGAGCCTCATACCATCTCCGCTATTCTCAATCGCCTACCTATTCACTGTTTCTGATGTGCTACTGTAGTGTCCAGGAATACCATAGGTAATAAGAAACACGCTATGCCATAGCATTGGAAATTTCTAGTTTGTAGCCTAGAATTACAACAGCTGGGTAGGTTGACTACACATATTGAAAAATGATGTAATTATCTTTCATTTTTTCATAGTTGTATTTATTCACTTTAATACTTACTAGGAAGCAGCATCTACGTGCCTCGCCCATACATTACCTGTCTGTAGAGATCCCAGAGGTCTATGTATTTCCCAGGATACCTCTGAGTAGGAATGCAATGCTGCTTCTCTTTTTGGAGAGAAATGTGGGGTACATTTCTTCAGCCACTCTTGCCTGCTAGAATTTCAGTAGCTAGAGAATTACTTCAGAATTATAATTATGATTGAAAAGGGGCATATCATTTTCTTTACAATTTCATAAATGGGTACAGCCTCATCAGAGGTGTACCTCACACTCTGCATTTATACCTCACCTTCAAAACAGAGATAAGCTTTACATAAAAAGCTACACTATATATTGCTCTACCTATAGCAAATGGAAAATACAATATTCTAATGTAACGTGTCTGGAGTAGATACCTCCATGGAAACGCGTTTGTTGTTTCGGCATTGTCTACGCAGCGGCCCACTGTTATTGCGTTGCCATGGAAGTATCTACTCCAAACACATTACATTATAATCACATTTTGAATGAATTTGCAAAAAATAATCCTCATTTGAACAAAGTGACATTTCACTGCACATGTTGCTACCTACACTGCAGTTTTTCAGTTGGTTACATAACGAAATAATGACAATAGTAAGAAGTTGACTATTTCTTTTTTTAAAATCATATCAGTGTAGTCTCTATTTACATTCTCATGTTTGAAAACAGGTGTAAATATATTGTTCAGTGGTATAAGAAACTAAATAGCCATATCAAGTCATCTCTCTTCACAAGCATGCATAACATGATCTTTTGAGATGAAGAGTGGGATGTGAGCTTTGTTCACCTTCATACAAGCACTGTTCTTACAATTAGTGTTGGAACATTGTATATAAATCTAGTGGAGCACTTTCTTTTGTAGTGCACTGCACACTTCTAAATGCAGCAAAACTGTTACACATAAAACAGTGAAAATATTTTTAAACATCTGTTGTCCATGCATTGCTCTCTTATTATGGCACATGGGCTGGTCCAGAAAGCCTTTTCTCGCTCTTATCAATATAAATATCACTCCCCAAAAGTTAAACTGCAGCCACCAGTGCTGCAGTACTGGGAGATTTAAATCCCCACAGGAATCATATGCCCCATTCTAAAAAAAAAAGGAGATAAACGAGAATGTGGAAATTACAGAGGACTCACATTCCTGAACATAGCATATATTATCTAGTGTAATAAATGGACGGTAACCAAATAGATCATCGGAGAGTATCAATGCAGATTTTATGGAATAGAAATACAACTGACCAACTCCGTAATAAGACAAATGATGGAAAAGTGTTATGAATACAGCATGGACTTGCATATGCTATTTGTAGACTTTACACAAGCATTCAACAGCGTTAACAGAGAAAGACTTTATGAAGTGATGAAACAGATGAAAATACCAAATAAATTAATTAGGCTAACTTCAATGACAATGAATATCACACAATCAAAACTTAAAATAAATAATAAACTAAGTGCAAGATTTGAATTTGATGCTGGACTCAAGCAAGTAGTACTATTCATAGTGGCATTACACAGTGTAATATAGAGTACTGATCAGAAACAATTTATGCAAAATAAAGACAAATATGTGCATATGTGGATGACACTGTCATAATAGCTAGATCCAGAGAAATTATAATTAAGATATATAAGAAAATGGAAGGAAAAGCAGGGAAGATAGAAGGAAACCGTAAGATTTAAAGGTAGAAGGGAAATTATTTACAGGAGTGAGTAGTTTTAAATATTTAGGAAATATGATCAATAATGGCAACAGAAATGATAATTATGTTAAGGAAAGGACACAAGCAGGAAACAGGGCCTACTTCGCAAATCTTAGTACGCTTTAAACTATAATAATATCAAGAGCAGCTAAGCTACTAGTATACAAAACAGTAATAAGACCCGTTGCTACATACAGGGCAGAAACATTTATCTTAACAGTAAGAGAAGAGAATGCACTGAGAATGTTTGAGAGAAAAATACGCAAAATATATGGACCTGTGATGGAAAATAATATATGGAGGATAAGATAGGATGAAGAGATAAACACATTACTGAAAGGAGATGATACAGTAAGCTTTATCAAGTCACAGAGAATAAAATGGATGGGGCATGTCGAAAGAACGGAAGATAATGCAATGTCAAACAGAATGTTAAAAGGAAGGCTATATTCCAAAAGAAGAAAAGGAAGACCCAGGATAAGATGGCTAGACGAAGCTGAGAGCAACCTGAAGAAGATGAAGGTGAAAGGAGGGAAAGAGAAGATGAGGAACAAAGAGCAGTGGAGACTGGTTGTAGAGGAGGCCAAGGTTCACCCAGGGCTGTAGCACTGAGTGGTAGGAAGGTATTCCTGGATGATAAACGTTAAGAGGTAAGAAACTGCAAGGGGTGAAATCACCATGTTTGATATATGTGTGTGTGTGTGTGTGTATATATATATATATGCCCACTTGAATAAATATGACAAATGGCTTCACCACAAGGTAGTCCAGCCTGGTGCAAATTACAACAGATTAAGAACACAAAGGAAGCATAAAGGCATGGCAGGAGCTGTTGTATCAGATATTGCACATGGAAAAAATAAGGTGAATTATTCTAGATCTAGATTGTCCCTTAGAAACTTCTAACTGGCTGTGGTCAGTAAGGGAATCCAGTAAAATAACTACTCCCTTCAAGGCATATAGACAGGACAAATTTCAGATGGGGGTTTCCAGGGAAAAAGAAAAAGAATCCTAAAATTCCAGAAGATATGTTAACTTATGCCACCTTTGTCAGACATTACATCATCATTGTCATCATCACGCTGGCAGCAACAGGCAGTGTGGAAAATATAGACACTGAAGGTTGTGATTGATCTAGCTCGCCAGCTGATGAGGTACTAGGATTCGGATCGGTATGATTTAAGGATATGGTCTTGGCCTTGATCTTTACGTTCGACATCATGAAACTCAGCTAAGCGAAAAAATGCTTTTTCCTCGACGCAACTTTCTGTAACGTATGTCAAGGTTTCTTTATTAAAGTCTATGTTGACTTCATACTCTCCTAAAAACTGACACCCTAAAATGACATAATTCGTAAGCTGTAGAAAAATCATAAACACTCCTTCAAATCTACTTACACCTATAGTAAATTCGACCATGGCCTCCAACTTTATTAAAACGCCTATTAAAAGCTGTTACCAAAGCTACCTTTTCAAAACGTAAAATGCAACGGTTAATACCTAACTTTATCATTTTTATATAAACCCATTCGAACAATAAATTTACTTCACCCCCTGTATCAAGGTAACTCTTACTTTACATCTATCACTAAACATGATTTCTATTTGTGGGCTCTTAACCAAATTATCTTCGTACATATATAACAACAGTTATCAAATCCAGTAATTTTTTCTGAATTCCTAAAATTTCACTGGGAAAAGTAAGACCTGAGACTTTGTATTCTTCTATATTAGGAAACATTCGGTTTGTATTATTTCTAGACTTTGTTTTTAATTTCTACAATCGTCAGCTCTTACTAGGATCACTTGCCCCTTTTGTTTCAAAACTATGTGGTGCAATGTCATTGCCTCTTTGTGGGTATTCCTTAACATAAATTTTGGTCTTCTGCTTGTTGAAAAAGACTGTAAGTCGTGGTCGACTTGATTTTCCTATAATGAATTTGCGATTTACCTTCAGATGGTTCACCTGAGGTAGTCTCCGAAGTTTTCTGGATTCATCTAGTTTGTCTTTTGTTTCTTTTGCCTAAATTTACTTATAAAAATCCGTCCGTAAAAAAAAAACGATGACTCATCAAAACTGTTTAATTCAATGACGGCACAAGTTGCTGTGTTTCAACATCCACAAGCATATCTTTACGTTTATTACAAGTACCTCTAAAGCAAGTATATAAATTATTAAATCCTGTATAATCATTATGATGATCACTAAGGGTGGCGGTTTGGGAACTGAGCAGAGTTGAACAACTAATGTTTTCTTGTGAAATTTTTCTGTCTAACTTACTGATCCTCAAACCTATCACTTCAAATTTTTCTTGTTGCTGAGACTGGATCAGCTCACCTCTCTCCCTTAATCGCCTTGAACCTTTGTCACGTGTTTCTTTCTCATTCGGTACGCTTTCAGTTTTGCTTTCTATGTTCTCTCTTAACTCTGTTACCTAATTCGAAATTTGCCTGTAAGTTTTTAGCATAGGGCGGGGGAGGAGGTGGGTCCCACGCTTCCATAATCCCTTGCGGATTTTAATAAAAGCATATACCCGCTTAGGCGACTGTTTTAATGAGCGGCCGCAAAAATCTTCCCTCCCCCCGGTCCCTCCCTCTTCACTTCTTCCTCTGCTGTTGGTTTCTTCACTAATTTCTTCTTTCATTTTCACAAAAATCCTACTAGTTTTGAACCCAGCCCATCCTTGGCATCAAGCAGGAATTTAAACACTTGAGACCAAGCTAAATCAGCGTAAGTAACAAGGAAATATGAAATAAAAACTGTAGCGCCATCTGTGGAGTAAAACCTGAACACTTGAGACTAAAACCTCATGGAAAGGCATGTAGCATCCGGTGTTTACATTTGCATGGTGCCACGTCTAATAACAGGCGTGAAAGTAGTCCCGCTGTGGTGACAGCTCATGTAAACAAAACAGCCGTGAATGTGTAGGCATGAATGCACGCCTGCCAGTCGCCACGCTTCTCTCAGCCAGGCGTGACAAGTAACCAAACCGCGTTTGGTTTTTTCGCCTGAACCCAGCGTATTTACAGGCATGTCAGTTCTTGGGAGCACCCCGTGCGGAAACGTTGCAGAAATGTCGGGAAAAAGAGTTAAAGGATGCGAACAAACTGTCGCTTAAGTGGGAGATTAAAATTCCATTCTGAAACAGTACACACCAAAATTAAAATATGGCTGCCAACCCTGCAGTACCCAGAAATATCTATGCAATAAAGGTTAAGTTCAGTTACCAATCCCTTGAACGCCTAGGGAAAGAATGCAGAAATGGAAATGTATAAGGGAATTAAAAGAGATATCAAAAGTATTGCTGTCACGATCAGATATTTTTATTACAATAAAAACTCGTTGGATTTGAGGTTCTCACAGTGATGACTATGAAGAGTGTATCGTATCTTCTGAGATGTGATGCCATGCAGTCCAGTAGAAGATCAATGTTTCAGAACGCATAGTCTCCACCTTATACAAGGAACAAGCAAGCACTCACCTTTCTAATTTATAGAATAATCAGTGACATATAAAATACACATTGGAAGAATCTGAATCAAGAATCGAAACAACTGCAATGCCACAAGTGACGTGGCTTTGGTGTGCATTCACTGTGTGACGTCACATGGTAAATTTTTCTGATAGAAAACGCTAATATCAATTGTCATTTTGGGTAGAATAACGATGAATCAACGAGATCTGTATGACTGAAAATTTCTTATAGTAAATGCAAGTTAGACGAGTGCTAACTCTTTAACCCTGAAGATGAAAGTGCCATGTTTCTCCAAAACGTTGGTGAACTTCTATCAAACTACACAATGACACATTTCAGAAGATGGTCCTCTACAATAAAAACTTGTTTTCTCACCCATTCTTTTTCGTATGTGGCAACAAACATGGCTTGTCTGTTCATTTAACATCAGAGACACACTATCCACATAAGACACAAAAAGTGCCAGCCAAGAGGGTGTAGGGGTTTGAGCAGTCAAGAATTATAATGGTACATTTCATTTGTACATTCTCTGATGGATTGGTACACAACACTGTAATCAAACAATTTAAAACATGCAGATGAAAAGGGTATAAACTCATTTAAATACTGTACATTTTCTTTAAAATCCTACAAAAATAAAAAGAAATTGAAAGAAATTACATGATGAATGATGCACAACCATGTGGGCAAATATACCCACTCTTTCGTTTTTATTTCCATGAACTGACAAAATCAAGATCCTGAAGATGGTATCTTACATAAAAGGAAACAAGGAGTGTGAAGAGATAGATTCTGCATCAACAAGACAGACTCACATCATGGGACAATAATCTTACATTAGCATTTCTCCCCCATCAATCTAGAAACAGCAGTTTCAACCCCAAATATGTGTTTCTGTGGGTACCATATTTTGATAATTTAGCATTTTAAACAAGTTCACAAAAATGGCACCAAAAGCTAGACTGTATCAACAGATTGCAGTGTAAGAATTTCAACTGTAAAGGGCTATGCATATGGAAAAACAGCAAAATCATTCCATTGTTTAACACTCTATAATGGATTATGCAGTCAAGTTAATAGATTTTGAAAATAAAAGATATCGATATAATTTTTGTCACCATCTACTGGATTGCACCATGTTGTTATACAGGCTCACACAGAATTTAAAGACAAACAATACTCTTTTCACACCACACATAATCAAAATTCCTATATGCTTATTTATAACATCAGTACATATTTGCAAAGGGAGCAAAAATTTTTGATATTGTCAAGAAGCAGGAAGATCCATTATGGAAATCAAGAATTTAAGAAGAAAAAAGAATCAAAGACAGAAGTTATTTTACCGTAGAGTGTTCATTCATTGCTCGGAGAATTCCAGTTGTCTGTTGAACGTGGCGACCAGATGTTGTTCAGTGATCGGAATGGATCAAACCCAAGACCAGGCTGCAAGAACAAAATATCAGTATTTAGGCATCATTATTCAAAATCACTTACAGAAATCAACATAATATCAAATACTGTAGTTGAGAGGTTAGCACCCCTGCTTTGTATTCGGGACAAACTGGGTTCAAATCTCCGCCCGGAGACTGCATATCCTGATTAAGGTTCTTCAGTCTTCCTCAGTTCCTTCAGGCAGATGATGGGTCCTACCTAACATCAGTCCACAACCACTTCCTTCTGCATCCTTTCCAATTCATTATTCCCTAATTATATTACCACTCACCATTACAGGGCTACCAAGTATATTGTGAAACCACAAATAACTAAGATAAACTGAGAAGAGTTCTGCCTTCTTGGATATAATGACATGTAGTCCAACTACTAACATTTATGCCTGTTTCATGCTGGTATTTTGCTTGGCTTATTCAACCCTGAAGATGGAATCAACATGTCCTTCTGAAACGTCAGCTGACTTTCAACTTTTAACCCAAAAGACAGAACTCTTCAAAACCACCACTGTGACAGACTCAAATGCTATACTGTGTCTAAAATATCTTCAAAAGTGCATTATCATTAGCTAATGATATATTTTGTTACATCGTCATTAGAAATTACTGGAGTCCACTTCCAGCACATGATGGACACCAGAACAAACACACAGTGTTGCCTACTCCAGGTATGATGTACCCTCAAATATGTTTTAGACAAACAACACTTACATCAATATCAGCAGCAGTGTCTTCAATGACGTTGTGGGCCACCTCTTGCCTTGGAGTTGAAACTGGAGCCAGAGGCACAAGGGGACCAGGCTGAGTAGAGATGGTGGGCACCACGGAGCCTGCTCCAGTAGACCAAGGAGAAGATGACCACACTGAGTTCATAAGAGAGCCCCATACTGAGATGGGAGCAGCGTGAGCTTCCTCTGACATTGCGGGAGTAGAGTACAGGGCGCTGTCAACTGCTGCTGGAGTGTACAGGGGGTCCCACAAAGAGTGGGGCCATAATTCTGTACAAGAAGATTGACAGGAATAAACAGTGTAATACCAAAAACTATATGGTAGGACCAAAAACTTCCTGGATATGTTAAAAAAAATAATGCACACAGCAGACTTTTTTCAAAGCTTCATCTCCATAAATTGGACCGAGGCCTACAAGAGTGTCCACTGCTCATGTCCCCAGTTTGCAGAAGAACTTGGTGTTCACTGCTGTTCAAACTGAGATGTGATGAGCACTGGCAATGCACATCCACCCCACGTCTGACTGTGGCATACTCATGTGTCTCAGCCTGTTGCAATTTTCCCCACATACGGTATACATTCCGCTCCTATGTGCCCCACCACCCAATTTTTTAACAAGCATAGATATCTCCACATGACTAAATTCTAGGAACTCTTTGATTGTTCCTTATATACATTATGCAGATAACACTGTTATATGGGAATGAAATGAAGAACTTCAGAAATGAAATTTCATAGGGTTGATAGGGTGTGAAGATTTTGGATCAGATGTCAAATGGCAAGTCAAAATATGTCTGCTAGTAAATTTATTGCTATCTGTTACGGTATGTGCAGATGGGTCACTTGCAAGAAGCAACCCTGATAATCCACACTGTGGACATGAATGCAATCAATGTTGGCAGATTCCTGTTGGTAATTAGTTAGTTAGTTATTGGAGAGGGTGGGTGTCCCCATGCATTGAGACCAGTATTGGTCCGTTGTGCTTCCCTCTATGATATTCTACCAGTCTCTATACCCTACCGATATTGGTGCTTACCATCAGTCCCGACCGAGCCAGCGAGTTCGGCCTCTACTGGCTTGGCGGTATCTATAATGCTTCCCCCATCTAGCAGAGGCATTAGAGACTACTGTTGGGCGGAAAATGTCCTTGAATTTAGCTCAGTGACCTCCTTTCGAGATATGAGGTTCTTTTACGTGCCGTAAAGCTACGACATGGGACCCACGGCTTAACCCTTCCGCACCGATATCCGTGTGCTGCACCGACCCTTTAAATAATCGTATGCCACTGACATCGGTGCAGTGCACAGACCTGCGCAGTGTTAGCTTTGAAGGACGTTGCTGACAAAACGAGGAAAGATATTCCAATTTTCTTTTCATGAGTACATAGATTGAGGTTTCATCTTTCAATTGGTATATGAGTTATTTATTTTGGACGAATTTTTAGCACGGTATTTTTATTTTACATCGTTAGTGTAATAGTTCGTACTTTGGTCTCATTGCGCCTAGATTGCATTGAAGTTTTTCGAATTCTAAGTAAGGAAAATGTATAAAACTATATATCTTTCGACTCTATGGTCTTTGCTTGTCTATATGAATCACTCACTGAAAACCCAGATGAAGGTTTTCCTTGAGTGTGTTGCTGTACAGTCTGCTGACACAATGAAGTAGTCAAACAAGAGCAACAAAAGGGTCCTTTTTTCTTGGAACCAAATGCAACCTAAGAAAACAAACTTACGAATGATACAGAAATCTATGATGTCATAACACATTCTTCTTTCAGTCGCGCCATAACCATGGCCTCTACAAGTAGGAAAGTTTTGNTTAAAGTCCCTCCCTGAGGACTTGTTCCCTGAATTTTTCCGCCCTTAAAAATTCCACGACCTCCACGGGGTTTGAACCCACATACCACGAGTCATGAGGTGGGAACGTTACCTCTAGACTATGGAGGCCGCTTTCCTGTTGGTAACTTTCAACCATGCTATACAGCATCACATACCAGAAGAGAGTGATCTTCAAAATAAACCATATTGTGACGTGGATGGTGCAACAGGAAGTGGGGGTCACGTGAACTCTGCGTTTCCTCAAGTTACGTCACATACGCCCACTCCTTCCACCAGTACGCAGCACTCGGTAAACATCCCCTCCCCTGTGGTGTTCTTCATGCCATGCCGAGCCAAAGCATGCTAGTTGCTACACAGCAGTAAACAACTCTCGAGAGTGTTGCTAAGCAACACCTGCTAACAAGGCGACTAGGCAACAGGGAAGCAAGGCATTATCCCGTTGTCCGGCAGAGGGTTTATAAGAGCACTACACTCCCTAAGGAGTTAGTTGAAATGTAGCCGCCGCCAAAGACAGTTGAAATATAGCAGCAGTCGTGGAAAGAAGACCCGAACGCATGGTTGGAAGATTTGATGTGATACTTTGTGATAGTGCCAAGGGCAGTAATTGTGAGATTGTAAATTGTGTGAGTGTGAGAGCGAATGTGCAATAAATTCGCTTTTTCAAGTACGGCATGAAGTTACTTGTCGCATGACATGTGGCCAACATGTGACAATATAATAATCAGAGACACTAGTGTGATACCTCGGAATGCATTTTGATTCTGACACTGGTAATTCTCCGCTTGTTTCTTCCCCTGTGCTCTTCCCATAACCTGGTTCTGTTGTTTCCAAACAATCTCATTCACGAATGGTGTTGATTCTGGACTTTCATCCATCTATAATAAATAAAACATTTTTAGAGAGCTAATGCAAAGATTCATTTCTCATATATAAAGCTTCAAAGCCAATTTAACATAATATGTATAATTCATTTTATTTGAGGCCTGATACTGGGCGTGCTGTAATGTAGTTGGCTGAGGCACTATGCTACAAGCTGAAAGGTCACGGGATCGAATCCTGATGAGGTGGATTTTTTTCAATTTACCTAATCCTTCCAGCCGCACCATGGCCCTGGGGTCAACTCAGCCTCTAACAGAAATGAGTGCCAGGAATATTCTTGGGGGTAAAGGGCAGCCAGTGCGTAAGGCTGACAACCTTACTGCCACCTATGAGCTGATTGTCTAGAAAATGCAGGAACCTCAACGTCTCACAACCCTATGGGCCTCCATGGCCTGTTACAGGGATAGCTTATTTTTTTTTACTGTGAGCAGTGGTTGCAACACACCAGTTCAATTCAGAAAGTGAGTTGAAAATGTAAGGACATATGTGGAGATTCAAAGTCAGTGAAACACAACCTTACTGAATACAATCCACTGGCTGTTTGTTTCAACCTATTACACAAAAGAATCGAATGATCTGCAAGCATCTGTAAATAGACACTTAACGCACGTCCGAAATGTTTATAACATGAAATAATCTTTTTTTAAAGTTTAATAGATCAGTCAGTACAGCAAGTAGCTATGGGGTTGGATGACCAAGGAACTGAGGCTCGATTTTCTTCATTACTCCACAGCGTCCACACCAGTTCTGGGGCCCACCCAGCCTTTTATCCAGTGGGTACTGAGGGGCTCATACTGCAGAGGTATAGCAATAAACGAATCACTACTGAACGGACATATCATAGTTCTGTTGTTGAAGTCAGTTCCATGTGCCCTGACATCCAGGAACAGGACTTGCCACTGATCCACATGTGAAGGTTGTTCAAATGAAACCGATTTACATGCTTGTCACCCGCATAAAGTAACTATGGGCTAAAGATTCAGATTGGACAAATACATGAAGGCCGTGTTAGTGCAGTGGTTCCCGCAATAGCCCTGGGAGTTCTTTACTGTCTGGTGCATGAGTGGGATGCCTGCCCCATGGGGAATATTTTTAATGGCCTCTACTCCTTTACCCAGAAAACCTCCTGAACAGGTTTCACCTAAACAACCCCCACACATTAGTTATGAAATCTAACCTGCAGTGACTGAGGTGCCTCAGGAAATGGACTAAGGAACAAGCTTGTCGAGTCCTGCTGTGACAGAAACTGTGATGATGATGATGGAGATGATTGTGGTTCACCAACAATCTCCCAAGAAGACGACGAAGGGGAAGGAGAAGAAGCCATGGTCTTTTTTGGACCTATTGGACCTAAAGAAAAAACATATGAGATATAATTAACATTTTAAAAATGTAAAACAAAAAGTTACGATACACGCTGAATAAGAAATAAATATGCAGTGACCTTATAAGTCATTTAGAACAGAAAGCTGTGTTACACTCATGACACAAAAGTGACATGAGCAGTGTGCTGGAAATTACTTCTGGCAAAGAAAAGTGCACACAATAGGGAAATGCTTTATATGTGTACAGCCAAACATCAACCCAACACATAATCATTTGTATCTGTTCATTTATCTGTGGGTCACTTAACAACACTTTCACAAGCCAGACAATATACCATCCAAAGGATGGATGATAGATTTGTAAAAAAAACAGCCATGGCCTAAACGAGATACTATCCTAGCATTTCCCTGAAGGGACTGGGAAAAGCCATGAAAGATCTCAGTCTGGACCGATTATGTCCAGGCTGAATTAAAGAGTATTACCGTTACGCCAACCCATTTGGTCAACTCTATCTATGGAGGATCTGAGGTTCTCACAGTGTCGGTTATGGAGAGTTCTATCTTCTGGGATGTAGCGCCGTGTAGAATCTGAGGTTCTTACAGCGTCAGTTACGGAGAGTTCTATCTTCTGGGATATAGTGCCGTGTAGGATCTGAGGTTCTCACAGCATCAGTTACGGAGAGTTCTATCTTCTGGGATATAGTGCAGTGTAGGATCTGAGGTTCTTACAGCGTCAGTTACGGAGAGTTCTATCTTCTGGGATATAGTGCCGTGTAGGATCTGAGGTTCTCACAGCATCAGTTATGGAGAGTTCTATCTTCTGGGATATAGTACAGTGAAGGATCTGAGGTTCTTACAGCGTCAGTTATGGAGAATTCTATCTTCTGGGATATAGCGCCGTGTAGGATCTGAGGTTCTCACAGCTTCAGTTACGGAGAGTTCTATCTTCTGTTACACAACACCACGTAGTTCACTGAAAGTCAACTGATATTTTGGATGAACATGTCACCTCCAGCCTCAGGGTCGAAGAATAAGCCAAGCTAGAAATCAGCATGAAAGCAGGTGACAAACAGAGCCAATTAATTTATAGTTAACCTGCTTGCCGCCTGTTTTCATGCTGATTTCCTGCTTTGACCTTCCTCTGACCATGATGATGGAGCAACATGTTCCTCCGAAACATCGGCTGACTTCAAATGGATTACATGGTGTGATATCCCAGAAGAGAGAACTGTTCAACTCTAGTTTGTACACTGGGCCAACCCTGAATATACCCATTTTCAGTTTATTTTTTGCTTCACACCTAGCGCTGAATACACTCATATTACATGTTCTCTGAATATATGAATGTAAGCTGGCAAAATGAGAAAATAACAAGAAAACCAATAGTGGTGTAGGCGAACTTTTCAAAAGGTTCTGGTCTGGACGATTAGTCATTGCTTGAAAACTACGAGGGTGAACGGGTCAGTGAACTAGTTTATGCCCAATGTACAGCCACAAGCTATGTCATTATAAGACAACTAATGTTAACAAATGCCACTCACCAAGACTAGGTGAAATGTTGTTAGGAACAGATGGCTCTGGTGCTTTCCCGGTTGTACCGCCACCAATGTTACTGCTGGCGCTGCTACATGTACTAATATCGGTAAATGGAGACAATGCAACCTCCGAGCTCTGCTGTTGTTGTTGCTGCATACACTTCTGTGGGGCCACAATACTTGAATAGAGAGGACCGTCGTTCCTCGCCACCACATCGCTAAATGAGGCTCGATGCTCACCCCAACAATTACTTGAACGTAAGGGAGGTGATACTCTTGCAGTGTTGCTCCTCAGGGTGCTGGATTCCATGACAGGTATCGGTCCTAAACACATCATACACAAAACATGAAGATTACTCTTTTCTGGGGTGTATCATCACAGACAGGTACTAACATTTCAGAAGGATATATTGTGCCGTGTAAATTCACTGCTAGGCAAAGCCCGCAACACACAAACGGAAAGGTTTGGTTCTTTGATAATCCACAGAAAGTGGATATGTCAGAAGAAGAAGAATAAGGATGAGAAGGAGGGGGAGGGGGGAGGAGGAGAACGTTCTTGCATTGACTTCATTTTCAGATCATAAAACTAGCATACTAACCCTTTAAATTTCCAGTTTTATCTGCTGTGTGTCTTTTAAGTACATTTTTGTCCTTTCGATCTCGACTGGTATTTTTTGTTGACTTCAGTTTATATGGTAACTCTAGACTAGGTGGTCTAGGGACTTCACCAGTACCCAATGTGGATGTCTTGCTTGATCCGGCATCAAACTGTTGCTCCTGTTGCTGTGCGCTTTTGACAAGTGTCATCTTGTGAGTGGATTTCCAGCGGCCGCTGAAGTCTTTCCTCCTATGAGCCTCACGCTCATAATCATCATCATCACAGTCACCTTCATAATTATCTCTGTATTCAGAACTGCTTTTACCTTTACCAATCTTTGTTGTTGTTTTGTGGGGCCTGTCCAAAGAGTTTCTTTCACATGAGTCTCTTTCCTGCAATAAATATCAACAAATGAACTAAACAAAACAACCATATCAAAAACATATAAACATGTACACATACAGTAAGTATAGAAAATATTTATATAGTAAGATGAAAGAAACAGATTCATCGCATCCTGCATACAGAAGAACTGCAACAGCAGTGAATGAAGTCTGCTATCATACCTACTTATAAAGAGGGCAATAAAACTACTTACCAAGAAATGAAATCATTATCAACTTTGTACAAAACTTTACCCAAAATGTTCATGTCTTCTGCGAAAATTATGCATCAGTACAAATTTTCTGAATGAACATTTTTGTCTTAAGTGTTCATCATGGAATTGCATGGCAGCGATTGTATGTGTAAATTATTAGATGTATGTAAACATTTGTTTAATAAGTTTCCACCAATACGCACAATGTCTCAAAATTTTCTGTACTTTGGAAGTAAACAGTCACTCCATTATTTGGTGTGATTTAGCTCAATAAGCACTTAAAAGACTTATCGTCAAAATATGTTACTATTCCCTTTCGAAGAAATAAATATATGTGTAAATACGTAACTTACCTTTTCCATTTCATCATTGTTTGAGCTTTCTGTTGTGGTAGATGAAGTTTCTTCCTCTGAACAAACCATGGCTTCTGGCTGAATTTTATTCTTTTTAAATTCTTGATTAATTTTCTTGCCATTTTTACTGATTTCCATATTCTTCTTGGTGCTTGACTCCATGTCCATAAAATTTTCAATGTTCACCGTTGCTTTAATCTCTGCATCTCGTTGTCTTGATTTCAACACAGACGAACCCTGACTGGATCTCGAAAATACACTCCCCCAACCTTTCTTCAATATTGGAATTTCATGTAATGACTCAGAAAGCGAAGACGTGTCGCTGTTACTGCTATTTCGTTTTCCAAGCTTCTTCTTATTTCTTATTGTTAAAAGTGGAGCTGAAGAATTTGAAAATCCCACTTCAGGTTCATCATATTTTATACATCCTGATTTTTCCTTGTTATCCACTTCGTTCGTTACAGGTCTGTCATCAGGCTCAGGCCAACTACTATTTTTGCTACATAAACCCACAGAATTATGTGAGCTATGTGACGCTTTCATGTGTTTTTCTGTCTCTTGAGCTGATGAGCCAAGATTCCAATTGCCTACTCCTTCTGGCTTCGCAGTACATGATTTACCATCTCCAATCTTGTGGCTGCCAGAACAGTTCTGCTTGGAATCAGACGGCACAGCAGCTGCTCCATCTCTTGCCATTGCTATGAGGGCACATTTAAGTATACGATCTGACTCTAAGTATGCAAGAGAAAGAACAGAGAGAAAAAGGAATGACATGAAACTAACTGCTAAATAATAAAGCAATGGTTCCCACACAGGGCGGCTTAAGACTCTGGAGCAAGACACCAGAAAGTATGGTGGCAGGGTTGTAATTAACGTGTAATTAACTGGTATGCTGAGACTAGTGTCTATACTCAAAGTACGCTGTATACGTGCGAGTGTGAAGTCAGGGGTGAATGCTATGTCAATCTTGCGGGTGCCGTTCTGTGGTAGATGGAATGTTACACAGTTGAGTATCCGGAAACCAAAACCTTCACAAGGAAGTCCGTTAATGTAAAAGCCTCGCACATGGATGGGTAAATCGCCAGTGTTGCGAGCAGTGAATGACCTCTTCACCGTTAGATTTGGCACTGGAAACTTACGATGCTTTTCCCCTGAAAACAAATTGTGTATAAAATTTCAAATATTCAATGATTTTCTCCTATAAAAATTTAATTTTGTGGTATGCCAACAAACAGCCAAACTCTAACATTTCTTAAGTTTTAACAAGTGAATTGACTGCATATTGAAAATGATGTCTCTTGAAATTCTGTATCACATCTTTTAGAGACACATACAATTGGAATACAACATCAGGCCATTATTTAAATGAAATATAAGTCAGTAATTTGTAGTTAACCGTGTAAATCACAATATTCAAATATCTCTCTCCTGCACATACATATCAATACAAGACAAATATACTGAACAGGGTCCTTATGTTTCATGCAACTACAACTGTGTAACTAAATAACATTCAGTCTTCCAGGATGTGACACCATGTACTCTGGTAGATATTTACTGACATTCCAGAGGAAAGAGCTACCTCTGTCTTAAGGGTAAATGATGTAAGCAACAGAGTATTATGACACTGAAATTATTAAGACATGTCTGCCCAAAGTCAAAACTGTGGAGCCTTATTAGGAAATGGCTGAGTAAACACATTTCCACATAAACCAAACCACGTGATGGCAGAAAAAGATACACATGCAACAATACAGGAACAACTGAAGAGGTGTTTCCTATGTGATCCATGCTGAGGTTATATAAGAAGTAACTGGAGCCTACTGTCGGTTGAGAATGTGAGACAAGCTACCATCTTGATTTAAAGGTGAGGGGGTTGGTCACCAGCCAGTGAGGACAGAAGCATCTGAACATGGAAGCTGAAGAATTTAAGCCGTTGTAGAATCGAAGAATTCTGTCTTCTGGGATGTGGCGCCATGCAGATCTTGTGTGTGTCAACGTTTTGGAGGAACATATTGTGTCTATCTCCTCCGAAATGTCGGTTCACACAAGATCTACATGGCGCCACATCATAGAAGAGAGAAATCTTCATAGTCACCACCGTGAAAACCTCAAATCTTACATGTTGTAGAATCCATCACCAGGCAGTGCTTAGTGAAGTACGGAAGATTTAGTGCCTGCCACAGTTAAGTGTGTAACTAGTGAAACAGCCAAAATTAATAGTAGTCGTGATTTGTAGAAGTCCAATAAATCCAATTACCAATCCAGACCGTGTGTCTAGCCAATATCTACCACACTGCATGGCACCACAACCTAGAAGACAGACTAATGTAACAACCTCAAATACAAAGATGTTTTCATTTCCTTCTTTCTCTAATCATGACATTTTTCCAAAAATCCAGGTGGGGGCAAATGCCTGGCTTGACACACCCCCTTCTGTCGCTTCCATGCCTCATGAAATGTTGTTGGAATGTTTAACCAAGAATGCATAAATGCATGAGACGGTATGTTCACACATCTCAATGTTTCACCCATGTTGCAAATGTTTTTCTTTGCTACACAACAGCCTTCTTGATACATAACATTATAATGAAGTCTCATTAAGAAATTTCTAACCACTACTGATAAATACTGTTTTTCTGAGTATCGCTTCAGTTGTTAAAAATCTGCTGGTCATTCAGGCATTGTCTAGAAAAATGTTTTGATGATACAAATTGATTAAAAATATAATTAAGACAAATTTGCATGCAAGAGAAACATCATAACTTACTTTCACAATCTTTAAGATGTTTCTCTGCTATTTCAAAGAGGAGAGGAGACCCAGAGCCTGGTTTCCGGTTTCCAAATTTGAACTGTGCGTGTGAAGCCTGTCCCGAAACTTGTACCACCTCCAACACAGTTAGGTTGTTTCTGACATAGATTAGAGCTGAGATGGTACCAGTTCTCACAGGCTTGAAGCCCAACGTGACGCGAACTGTCTCACCAGGTTGCAGCAACATGGCAAAACTATCTCTGTGTACCGGTACTCCCAGCTGACTCTGCAATGCAGCAGTGGACCGGTTGCCTTCCACCCATGTAAATTCTCCTGGTATTGAGTTTGAGCAATCTTTACAATTTGGATGAAATCTGTAACAAGATCAGAAAGGATTACTTCAGAATACATATAAAATTCCCTGTGGTGTTCTCTGCAATTTACTGAGCTTGTCAAACAATAATGGATGATTTACATGAAGACCTATGAACATTTCTGTGCACATCTCAATCGTAACTTGCAAAATATTTACTGGAGCAATAAATCCTTCAAACAACACAGTACACAAAAATGAAAGGCACATTATATGCTCAACATACTGTGACATGAAACCCAAAAGAAACTGTCCATTGCTACGTTACAGCATAATAAACATGCAATGATGTCATTAAAGAGGGTTCAGAATACTAACCTTTCTGGAAGGTTGTCCATCAAACGGTTCCCCTGCAGATAAACAGAGTCCAGAGCTAACTGAAACACCACAACTTTTGATGAAGGATTTTGCACAATCAGTTTCCTGTATGTTGTGTTACCAATCTGCGTAAGTGGGAAGGTAATGCAACTGGCGTTCCCAGCTTGAGTTGAAGAAACAAGTTTGGGCCAAGTGAGTCGCACTTTGGCCTGAAACAAATGACCTCGCACCTCTGTGGTATCAAGACGCAATGTCAGATTCTGCCATGCTGAGAGTGCTCCGTCTGTCAGTGCCAGGTAACGGTTATGCCTCGTGTTCAGCAAAGTCAAGTCCATATCTTGTGTGTGAATAGGAAGTCCCAGTGTATGGAGCCACTGACTTCCAGCTGTAAAAGAAATAAAAAAATTTATGGAACTTGTAAATTGTAATAACAAACTAATGTTACATTATTTCACTAAAAACTCAGATTTCATGAAGCAGAGTCATTCTTAGTAAAGTGCTTCCCTATATTAACAACATTCTGGTTAATGTCTCTTCATTTGCCTAATGAGTCAACTATTCATCTTAACTTTATAAAGTTTTCATTTGTATAACAAAATTATTGACCACATAGTTGGCTAAGAAAGTGCATAACAGCAGAAAACATGTGCCATATACAAAAAAAAAAAAAAGAATTTAAGCCTGTTAAGTAAAAATTTTTCAATTCAAACATAATTTCATAAAATCTCAATCTGTATCACAGCCTTCATCAACCGCTCATCTATCACTACTTACAGTAACAAAGAAAAAAAAAACAACAGAAGTTGAAAGGCTAGTGATGAAGTTGTGCTGTTGAAATTGGCATAAATGGTGGATATTTTCATTTGTCTCATATTTTGCAAGATGTGAAACTTCCAGGGCAGGTACAGTAAAGCTGTCCCTGTGCTTACCTAATTAAGCACTAGGCCATGAAGACGTATGGGAAAGTGGATGTATAGAACCATACATTCTTGATCTCAACATTAGTTGGATGTGAGTGGTCAGCTTCACATCCCAGCTGCTTTAACCCCAGGAAAAGAGCCCAGGTTACCCACTGAATAGGAAGCTGGGTGGGCCCCAGAATCGATCTGGGCTACATGGTGAGAAGAAAAATCTGGCTCCTACAGGGATTCAAACTCCAACCCCTTGACTGTCCAGCCTGTAGCCACTCGCTATACTGACTACGCTATCCCAGTTCCTTTCACGGCGAGTAAAGCTGACAAAATTTTCTCTTATTTTATTAAGCAGCAATACGCTTTGAACTTTGGCTCTGCTTCCATCATCAGGTAAAAAGCAGGAACCCTACTTCACTGAGCCTATTACGTATATGGGGCTAACCTCTATCCCAACTGGAGATTACTCCGAATGGACCCAACAGAGTAGGTTTCATACTTTTACCTGATGACAAAAGCACAACCAGCTTCCAAAATATTCCATTTTTAACCACAAATGAGAACAGTGAAAGTATCTTAACAGTTTAAGAAGCAGGTCTGTCTAAGGTTATAGGGACAAGCATACTGACAGGCTCAGATATTTACAATATTTTTCACACAACAGATAATACTGTTCCCACTCACTTGTGGAATTTGGTGATATGCCAAGATAGCAGTGATTTCCGCACCCAACGGCTGGGTTGAACCTCAGCTCACCAACCGAGCTGGTGTTAAGTGGTAATATGCGAGTTACATGTACAGCAAGAGAGCCGTCGGGTTCTCTCCCATTTTCGTAGCTCACTTGCGGGTCTGGTGGCACACTTGTAATGCTTGTCACGTCCATCTCTCGACTGAACAGTGACCGAACACGAAGTTGCTGACTACAGAACTTACCCTGGCACAAAACATAAACAATCGGATCACAAGCTCTAAAGAATATGACACATTAAACCTCTGACCTCAAAACCATGTGACAGAACTGCCTGCTAAAAGTGTCATGGCTGCTTACAGGTAAATGGAGCAAAGCAGAGAAACCCACAATACTTCCTCAGATTACCTTCAAACGAATGGAAACGAATGGAAATCAAGGAATGATTGTGCTTCCTATAGATAAAGATTGCGCCTATTATTTGTCACATCTAGAATATAATATTATCTGTCTGGTTTTGTTTATAATTGTTGTGAATGGCACCTGATTTTTGACGTTGTTTGTTTCAGTGTCGTGTCTGTGATTTGGTTTGATGTGTTACTTGTTTGTGTTCTACAACTGTTAATGTACTACAATTATATGTGGTCTTTTTAAATGTCTTGGATATTTAATTTTTAACAATTCATTATTATAAATGTACTTTTTATTGACATGTTCTATATCTCAAGGCAGCACTGCCAATTGTAGATCTCTGGAACGAAATAAATATTAATGTATGTATTACAGGAACAGAGAGCATAAACACCTGTAATTTCCTCTAAAACATTCCTGATGCCATCTACTGACAGAAATGCTGTATTGATTAGCAATGGGCTCTAGTCATAGGAGTTTTAAAGCAAGTATACACAGCTGATGTAATTGGCTTCTGGCATACACAGGTTAAAGGCTATTTCAGTTGGATGCAAAATTCTTAAAAACTATTAAGCACTGCCCCTAATATAGTGAGATCCCTATTTAACGGACTTCTAGAAGAACAACTTAATTACATTAAAGGATTATTCACCTTCTTGTAAATCTTATAATTATGATAAAAGACTGTATTTACATTGGTAATTAAACTGCTTCTTTATACATAAATTTATAATTAATAATATATTAATTTCTACAGCAGTAGGCTGACGTACGGAATAAAGACAGTGGTAATGTAGGAACAGTTTACAGCTGAGATAAGATGTGAATATTGATTACTGTCTTCATCCCAATCATGATAAATCAAAGTATAAATTATGAAAGAATAAAAATTTCATACATTAAATATGGCTAACTTATTAAACTGAAATTTCCTAAGTATATGAAAATAATATTTTTCACACTGGGCTTAAGATGCCTCCCCCCCTCCCAAATCACTAAATATAGGATTTCACAAAATACAGGAATATTATATCAGGAATTCACTGTACAATTTATTAACTCACAGGTTCAAAGAGATGAGAAATTGCTAGCCAGAAAGCTGGAAAACATGGTTTTGCCCTACTCCCCACCTTAAACATATGTTTTTAGACATACTATATTATGTAAATGTAAAAATAACAAAGCATCTACTTCACATAAACATAATACTTACAGGAAAGCAATCATCAATAACAAGTGATTCTGGAACTAACTCAAGATCCCCATGTGCTACTGTCATCACTGTTGGGATTACTAAACGCTCAAACTGAGTCTTAATAAACACCTCGGCCAACACAGTCCCTTCAGTCTTTGGAGCCTCAACAAACACTCGGAATACAGCATAACATCCAGGCATCAAAACCAGCTGCAAATATAAATACTTGAAGATTACCGTCTTCTAGTTCATGATGCCACGGGGTTAATATTTCTAGCTACGTTAAGCCAACAGATGCAATGTTCTTCCAGTATCCAAAGAAGTTTAGAAAATATGTGAGGTACAAGAAAGAAATAACTCCATTATTACTTACTGTTGTGCTCATGTTGCTGAAACTGTGCCGTTGCAGCACGGTCGACTGGTTCCCCTCCTCCGCGCCAACCAATTCTACCAATGCACCAGTCATATTTGTGCCCCAGCTTTTAAGAAGAACTGCAACTGGGTTATTATTAATGACAGCGAAATGGGCTTCCTTGTGACTCGCACTACCAACTGTTCCAAAATTTAATTTTGTTTCATTAAATCCTGATAAAATCACCTGCAATCATACGAACAAACAATAAAATTCTTTCTTATTTGTTTATATATGGTTTATTTACTGATGCTGTTGGTGCAAGGATAGCTATTAGTATAGGAACTAGGCAATGTGCTCGATGACTAAGGAACTGGGGTTTCATTCCAGTAAAGGCAAGGGACTTTCTCTTCAACATAGCACCTAGAGTGGCTCTGGGGCCCACCCAGTCTTCTGTACAATGAGAACCAGGGGCTGCTTCCCCTGAGATAAGTGGCAGGAGTGTAAATTTGACCACTCCCACCTAGTGTCAAGGTTAAGAATGTGAGCTATACCTCCACTTCCCAATACATCTACATAAAATGGTACTTAATTAATCAAGCACTGTGATAACTTTTCCATTACCCTAATCATGCTATCAACAGATCAAACAATACATTAAATGGCACGATGATTAGCGAATAATGAATTGGAAGGGATGCGAACAGAAACAGTCATAGCCTGGTTTGAGTTACTATCCCAGCATTTGCCTAGAGGGATTAAGAAGATGAAAAATTGTATATAAGAATTTTAACCACCATCCAATGTCATTGAGAAGAGTTGTCTGTTTTTAATTTTTCATCCTTTACATGTTTCGGTCAAAACGACCATCTTCAGAAGGATAAAATCAACACATATGGAAGCTAATATTACCATGTCACAGACATAAATATTATATCTTTTAACTAATGCTAAGATGTACTCTGATTTATTAGAACATCTAAAAATTACTGCAATAACCATGTTTACAGGTAATGTATAATATTTGTTCTAATCTAGAACCAATCTGGTTTGTGTCGTTATACTTCTTCTCCTCAATGTATATTCCACAGCACGGTTTCGTTGTCTGATGATCAATGCTCTTTGGTATCATGGTCCAGTTAGACAGGCTATGCTGTGTTCATATTATCCTTCCAAAGATGGTCATTTGGCCACAACATATTCATTCATTCATTCATTCATTCATCTGTAATATGTCAATACGACAGGTCCACAGTCTCTTCCACAACAGTTCCTCCACTTGATGCGATCTAGAGCTTTCTCCTTCAAATGAAAATATCCTCTTCTGTCCCGAAGGTCATCCATCATCTTCTTACGTCTTCTTCCTCGTCTTCTGGTCAGTTCTATCTGCCCCTCTATCCTTCCTTCAATAACTTCTTTTAGAAGGCAGTTACCGCGTAAGATATGACCAATCCAATTAGCCTTCCGTTTTCTTATTTCATGTAGGATATTCCTCTGCTCACTGACTCTAAATAACACTTCTTCATTTCTCACATAATCGGTCCAACTGATCTTCTCCAGCCTTCTCCAACACCACATTTCGAAGCTTTCCAGGTGTTTCTGATCTACTGCCCTAAGTGTCCAAGTTTCAGCCCCATACAAAGCGATGCTCCAAACGTAGCATTTCACTAGTTTCTTTCTCAAATTTAAGTCCAATTTGCTGGTAAAAAGATTCTTCTTCTTGCTAAATGCAGCTTTTGCCATGGCAATCCTAGATTTAATTTCACACGTACACCTTCCATCATCTGTTCCCGGAAAAAAAAACAACTCCTAACAATCACACTGGACGGTGGTTAAAAATCTTACATACAATTACTAGTGTGACGGAGCCGGATGAACCAAGTTAAACCATGAAAACCCTCAGTCAGTTTGTGTCCCAGCCAAGATTTGATTCAGGCAGCTCTCAGATACATGTGAGAAGTGTTACCGCTTGAGCAAATGTGCTCGATATATAATTCTTACTATAACAAAATGCAGCACCCTTACTTCTACCCTGAAGATGGAGGCATATGTTCCTGCACAACACAAGTAACCACTAAAAAGACAAACTGTAGTGAGGCCACAGAATGAGTCTTACACTAAGAAGCCAAAGCGCTTGTCAATATCAAAGTTACCACTACCAACATCTGTACAAGCACAGTGGTGACATGACAAGATGGGAATACCAAGACAAATGCTGTAGGGGGGAAACATAACAGCTTGATGGAGATGTTTTCTTTGGTGGGTTATTTTAGAATGCTGTCAGTATCCAGGTGATATATCATCAAACTGCAGGATGAGAGACGAATGATGAACTGGTAAGGATAACGGAATACAGTAACTGTGGTGTAATAGCAACATTTGCCTACAAAGTCTGAGGAAAAAAAAATTCAGTCAGACTAGCCAGTGTCTGGACTATGATTGGAATCAAGAACATCCTGAACACAATTCTAAAACATTACTGCTACGAGAAACTGGTTCATCAGGGAAAATGTGGAGCTCAATCTATAGAACTTCTTCTTCCACGGCCTTAGTACAGAAAACTACAGGATGTTCAATCAAGGAGGAAACTTTGCAACACCGATGTCAGGGCCCAATATTCCTCACACATTGCTGCTGTAACTGTAACAGCGCGCGTTTATCAGCGCTAATGACTCATTCTGCTATCAGCAGTTACAGTAGCAATCCATGAGGAATGTTGGGCCAGGTCAGTGGTATTGCAACGTTTTCTCTTTAACTGAACGCACTGTATAAACTAAATTTCCACTGTGGGAACCTCAACTCTATCTCTGCATGCAGTTTCAGTGCCTTACCTTCAACAGTCGCCCATTATAACACAAAAGTGGAATTGATACTGTTGAAATATTTGTATGTAGAAACAGATTTGATTCAAGCTTCAATTCTGATTCGATTGTTTCCCTCCTGATAGCTAGCTGAAAGAGTACAACTTTTTCCCCTTCACCCAGAACTGTTGGTGTAAATTTTTTAATCTGGAACAAGAACATCAGTATTAATGTTACGAGCTTTTAAAAACAGTACAATGCAATTTACATAAAGCCTGTTATATATATAATCACAGCTTAATACCTTCTGAATTACATAATCAATTATATTTATGAGAATGAAACATAATTCTGAGGTAAACTACAAACTACTGAGTATTGCAATATGATGAATGAAAAATAAAGAAATCTATGGTTTGCTTGAGACAAAATTTCTAAGAAATCATAAATTCTTAATTTTATGTGGTCTAATAAATGAACAGCTAACATATTTCAGCATACATATAATGTTTGAAATCATCAGTCCAATGGTCAAGACTTGCCCTTTCTAACAGACACAACTTGGCAAAAATCTTTCTTTCCATCTGGATTACTGTCTTCTGAGATGTGACGCTGTCTATTCTGGTAGATATTCAACAGTGTTTTCAAAGAAAGCTGCTGACTCCATCTTCAGGACAGAAGAGTAAGAAACACTGGTGCCCATCTACCAGACTACAGGTGTCATGCCCTCAAAGTCAGTAATCTTCATAGTCGGTGTCAACGTTCCCTCTAAGCTGGCGATGCAAGTTTGCAAGCCATGGTGTCTTCTGAACAGCAACAGGGCTGGCTTGGGCAACCCAAGGGTGGGGGGTTAACAATTTTTGGAAGAGGTTCATAGCAGACATTAAATTTATAAGCTCCCAAAAATAGCACAAAATATTGTAGTTTACTTTTTTTCTATTTTATTTTTATTAATTCAAACTGACTATATACTAAACCAATAATCATGTGTGGGAGTTCTACAGCCATTGAGGAGTCGTGTGTACGCACAGCTTAGAGGGAACCTTTATTTTCCCTTCTACACACAACGAAGAAATGGACACAATGACTCCAAACCTTGTGCTTCAAAAACCTGAAGATGACAGCGTGTCCAAAACAACACTCATGTTTACTGTAAAACACTACTGTCAGAAACATGAAGAGGCAAAATGAGCTCCTTACCATGAAATGTGCCTGCGCTTCCTTCGGAAGGGTAACATTTACTAAGGCCACCGGTATTTTGAATCCATTTGTTACAGTGAAATTTCTAATACCAAGATTCAGCCCCAAATCAGAACAGTACTGAGTGACAGAGGCATTGAACTCCAGGCCGCCTTCCAGTACGTGTGCCACATACGGAATTACCACCTTATGCTGGCTATGCTTGCTCTTTATTACAAGTTTACCGCCGAAGTGTTTGCTTTCAAATGAAGTTTTCCCTAAAGGGACAGAAAACAAAAAAGAAGTATAGGTAACGATTATGTCTTCTAGAATGTGACATGTAGATTGGTAGATATATCCCCTTGAAACATCGGCAACTATCTACCAAATGACACAGTGCCAAACACCAGATGACAGTAATTCTAACAGACACTGTTGTGACAACATAAATCTCACAGAAAATACACCTACATACCAAATAATAACAGTGAGAGGCCTTCCAAACTTCTGTTACTTCCTGAACTCTCACCTCCTGGACTTCTTCTGTGAGTTACTTCATCATGCTGTCAGTATCCACACTACATAGTGTCAAATGGTACAGTTACCGATAAATAATCAGATATGATCTGGAAGGGAGCAGCTGTAACCTAACTGAGGCATCTTGGCATTCTCCTTGAGGGGGGGAGGAAAACCACAAAGAACATCTGAGTCAGGATAGCCAGTGTCCTAGCCCAGATTCAAACTGGGCACCTCAAAAATATGAGTCTAGAACCATGTCAACATACTCGGTTTCTGAGTTACAATATCATGTAGCCTCGTGCGTAGGCACCACCATTTTGTGGGGACCTGCTGTCACAAAAGTGTTGGAAGCCACCTACCAGATTATACAGCAATTCAAATCTTTGTTGAAAATAAAACCTCAAATTTATAATTTCCTGACTGTGAATTAGTATGATAAACTGTTCTACTTCAAGCCTGAAGAACTATAACTGTCATGGGATTTTATAAAGTTCTTGTTCTGAGGTGATGAGATATGAAAACTTGAAAACAAATCTTACATCCTATGAGAGATTCAATTCTTACACCAGTGACTACGAACATTACCACCTTCTGTGATGTGACACCACTCAGCCTCCATTTTCCACCCACTGTGTCCTCTGAACCAACCCGTTAATGTCTCGTCTTTACCCCTTTTCTCTGACCTTGAAAATGCCACTGGCCACCAGGTCCTACTTTCCTTACTCTCTCTCTTCAGACTTCCTTCTGCCTCCTATTGGTTCACTTCCAGTTTTTGTTTTTCCCAATCACTTTGACCTTGAAAAATGACCCTTTAAAGAGACAAATATTCGTCACTCCTATTGGTTCAGTCAGGGCCCTCGTCCCAGTATCTCTAACAACTCATCCATGCCCTGAAAATGGAGGCTGCATCTCCATCCAAAATGTTAATGATCTACCAGACTATATGGTGTCACATTCCAGAAGGCAGTAATCTACTGTAAAGTGCTGAGTTGATCCTTGTGATTAACTTCATACGCTGTGTCTAAAACAATTCTGAGGTCATGTCACATTAGGTAGTGATGCAGAGCATGATGTTATCATTAGGGAGCTACTACATTCTGTTTTCACCACAGGATTGTAACCAATATCGCCTAGCCAGGAATCTCACTGAACACAAACATGATTCTCTTTCCATATGGTTGCCTACCCAAAGTACGATGTAACCTTAATGATACTGTAGTGAAAGCATATTGTGGCATATAGACCTGATGCTAGGCAATGACCATAAAACAACTAGAAAACGGCCCACACGCAGCAAGAGAAGAATAGCTCTTTCTGCGCTGTCTGTGCCGAGGAGTTATAAGCAGGAGAGTTAGTTAGTGAGGGACACTCAAGTTGAGCTAAGCTGAGCTGAGGTAGTTGGTTGGTGAGTGACTGAATTAGTTAGTGAGAGAACTGTTGAGGTTCAGTTGCTGTAAGAAGTGGTAGCTGAGGCCAGGGATAGTTTGTGAACCTGGAGGGAGAGGACTGTCTGCTGTTTGAAGCCGCTACAAAGCAACAGCTGGTGAAGAAGTGAATGTGGACATTAGTGTGTGTAACAGTGGAATGTGAAGTTATTTACTTACTTATGGAGCTGAGCCCTCCTTGAGGAGCCACCAATTTTGCAGCTACTCAAGAATTCTACAGCATTTTATGGAATCCGAAGGTTCATTACTGTGTTCACAAGAGCCCTCCACTGGTCCCTATCCTGAGCCAGATCAATCCAATCCATACCATCCCATCCTATCTCTCTAAGATCCATTTTAATATTGTCCACCCACCTGATATAATCCATTCAATACATTAATCTTATTAAAAATGAGAAGTCTACAAACAATAAATATATTTTCACTCAATTCTACTCACAATCAAATGTTAGAACAGCTACTTGCGTTGGTGATTTTGAATCTGGTGGAACTTTGACAGGCTGAAAATCTATTTTCAAGGCTTTAGATACCGGTGTCGTAATAATATTCTGTAAAAGAGAAGTATCAAAATATTGTTATGTGTCATAACTTATAACATCAGTTCTGAAAATGATGAAGTACACACGTAACAATGTCTTTCTGACGTCTGTATAACGTACTTGTATTCGAATCACTTTCTTCCATGAGTTATAAAGTAGAAGTCTAATTTCTTTTGGTTTGTCCCGGCTGCCGCCAATACCAAAATCCAACACATCATCCTGAGAGTACAGCCCTGCATTAGAAGAGACTTCCACCTCAAGTGGCACGACTAGCACCTCTTCACTATTGTTCACCTTGATTCTGGAGCAAACAAAGAAAAAAGGCTCTATTCCATTACCTGGGGTACCATAAAGAATTCAAAGGGAAGCTCTTGTCTAGACTTCCTTAAGTGCAAAATTGATAGAAACAGTAGTATAAGTGATATATTACTTGTAAAGCAACATCTATTATCTAGCTCATAACAACTATCAGAGGACACAGTCTACTGGCAAAGGACCTGACTGAAGGCATCCACGTGTCCCAACAGAGTATGCCACATGTACAAGTGACGTCTGCTGAGCGCTACATATTTTCTCATTCATTCATTTCACACAACAGCACACTCTGTCCATGATCTGCATATAGGAACCTGATGCCAAAGTATACTGACTTGAAAACAAGGCACAAACAAGCAGACGTCGGGTATTCTTGAATGTCCCATCATTTTTGGCACTTGAGAACCCTAATAAGGAATCTATTTAGGTACCTCAAAAGTTGCAATTTCTAAATGGTTCTGACGATGATGTGTACCACTTAGAATTACTGGGTTGATTGAGGTGAGCGCTTTCATGTAAGGGACCCAACAGAGAATCTACTACCCCCTCACCCAAGGACAGAAACAATCCTGTTTCTAAAACGTTGTGTTCTCTGGATTTCAGAATGCAGGACAATGGACAAAGTCCAAAAAACTCAGTAATTGAAAAGTTGGAATTGAATTTGCATATCATATTTCAAAGGAAACACAACCACAACAGCTCAATCAGTAAACTGACTGGCCATGGGATGGAAAACCAGTCCTCAATTCCAATGCAATATACATTAAAAATATACCTGATATAAGCAGTGTGATTTTTTTCTATTTTTGCAACAAAATGGACTCTGATGACAGGTTTTGTGTGAAAAGGTGGTATCTCCCACAGATTTTTGGGGGCTTCTAGTTCTCCAGATGGAAGTTCCAAATGTATCTCTCCTCCACTACTGTAAATTTCGACAATCTGAAAAGAAATGAAATTGATATACATACAAATGCAACATTAATTCTGAATTCAACAGGAAGTCTCACCATTTATTATATGAGGTTCTGTACTATTAACTAATCTGCTTTCTCCCATGCGCCTTTCCAGTCCTCTATGTTACTGAATAATATATCAAGGGTGATATTTGACATCGTTGTCCACAAATAACACACATAAACAGTCAATCATAGTACACTACACTTCACACACCCAAATCAAAATATTCCTGATACAAAATAAAACCAACATACTGAAACAAAAGACTGCTTGGTCATTCTTGACCTACAACATAACTACAGGGAATTAATGCTAGACAATTCACTGCTGTGGTAACCTGAACTTGCATATGACAATGATAGATCTCAAGCTTACAAAACTTGTTTATATACTGTCACGTGTACAGGGTTCCATAACAAATAATTGTGGATTACGGATTTGACGAAGCTGTTTTATTGGACAACTTGTTTACAATTACACTTACATTCACTACAATCACTCTGACATAACTTCTTTCAGATAATGTGACCTGACTAGTCCATCGTCACTGATCTGTTCTTCTCTGATCTTATTTCCGCTCTGGTTTGATCCGATCTGATCTCGTTATATCTGGTGTAATCTCCTTGAAGTAGGTACTTGGAGTACAAAATAGCAGACACCGCCCTGAACAGTTCAGTATTTCATTTCCATGGTAACCTCCTGCCTATGTATGCGTTACCATCAAAACATCCCCAGTTCTGCCATAACTTACGTGTCTAGCCGAGTGTTTCCATGGAAGTGCATGTATACTAGTCACATGGTAATCCGCTGTCATGGGAACGTGCTTTATTAATGCCCGTTGTCTAAGAAATAAACTTCGATCTCACTCAACTGTTCCGGCTTTTAGGCGGCGTGCCACAATATATATGAGGACATAGTTCATTACTTAATATCTATGGCTTTATACATTCACTTACCTGTACTGGAGTTGTGTGAGGATTGTGCATATAAATTAGAGGAGAGTATGTGGAGTTCAGAGGCACACGTACACCTACGAGCGGCCTCAAGCGATAAGGACTGCTTACACTTGCACCTTTCACCTACAATGTAACGGTTATTTCATGTCAATGAGAAAAATGTGCAATATAAATAAGCATGGGCAATAGGGTATACAGCAGCAGTAACTGCAGAATCTCTTATCATAACTGGATGTGCTCCAAACATAAGTGATGTCAACTTACGTGAATATCACTATAACAGAATATTATGACTTTCTTTTTATTTAATTCTTTTGGTAAAGATGTAAAATGACATAATTATTTGTCTAAAAAAAATAAATTGAACTTACAAATCAGCTGAAATGAATAGTATTAAAGTTAAATTACGCTATTTTTGAAAGAAAATGAAACCCAGTAAAATAAAACGAGTAGCAGAAATCCGAAGTTATATGACAACTCTTCGAAACACAGCTACGGTGAAAGATGGATCATACTTGTACTATCCAGGTTAGTGACATGAAGGATTATTCATTTCATCTGTCATTTATTTAACAATGGGGGCATGCAGTAGCGTAGTGGTTGAGGGGCTATGCTACAAGCCGGAAGGTCATGGGTTCAAGTCCCAATGAGGTCATTGGATTTTTTCCAGTTGACCTAATTCTTCCAGCCACACTAGGCGCTGGGGTTTACTCAGCCTTTAACAGAAATGAGTACCAGGAATTAATCAAATAATTTTCCTCGGGAGTAAAGCATGGTCGGCAAGTAAGGCTGACCTTACCGTCATCTTTGAGCCGATTGTCCAGATGATGTGGGACCCTCAACATCTCACAACCCTGTGGGCCTTCATGGCCTGGTACAAGGATAGCTTTACTTTTTTTATTATTTATTTAACAATTCTGACCATAACTCCAATATGTAACATGGAATGATTTGATGACAGTGTACAATGAATTGGAAAGAATGTTGCAGAAAGCAATCACGGTCTCAATTTAAAGTACTATACTGTCATTTACCTAGAGTGATTGAGAAAAACCAAGACAAGACTCAGTCAGGACAGTGTCCCAGCTGAGATTCAAATCAGACACCTCCTGACTACAAGTCAGAAGTGTTGCCACCTGAGCCAGTTTCCTCAGTGTAGTGATGATAACACAGCCACCATATTCACAGCACTGAATTTGTTTTTTCTAAGGTTTAAACTCATATTCTCACGTAAATCTGTATAAGGATTATAAAACACTTTCGCCCTAACCTGATATTTGAAACTTCCTTCTGAAGTATGAATAAAGAGGTTGCTCTCCATCTCGCCCTCTTCGCGTCCCAGGAACACGACATTGAAAGATGTATTCCCAAGGGGGGGAATGACCTGAAAGTTCAAGTTCAAGTAAGTTTCTCTTTATCATAATGAATACAGATGGACATTCACTGTACAATTCTTGTATGGTCTTACCTTGTCTTCAAAAAATGAACTGTGGAAATGTACTGTGCTTCCTGATATTGAAGACATGTGTACTGTTTTATTATTGTTCACATTGAAAAGAGTAACTTTTTCTTGGTGGGGGACACCAACATGCCTGTAACAAAACCAAGAGTGAAATAAAAACACAGCTTCACTGATGTAAATGACAAAGCAAGTGTTATACTTTCATTTAATCAAGAAATTCCAACTATGTCAAGAGCCATAAACCAGCAAGTAAATATTTTAAGTAATATATATCTGGTAAGGCAAATCACTTTCATAGTACCACACTGCTCTGATCTTCAGGGTGAAGTGATTACAGTGAATAAGTGTTCATCTACAAGGGAGAGTAAGAAAATAGGTCACAAATGGATATAAAATGTAAAACATGTGATAATCAAACCCGGAAAAAAAAAAAAGTTTATTTCTTGACATACCTTCCACCAACACTGATACACCTGTCCCATCGTTTTACCAGTGCATCGAAACCCAAAGCACAGAAGTCTTTTGACTGCTGTCTCAGACACATCTGCAACTAGTCGGGCATCATATGCATCTTTCAAACATCCGTCAGAGAATTTCTTGACCCAGTTGTGAACCGCTTCACACGACAAACACTTCCCACCATAAAAAGGAAATATTTCCTTATGAATATACTTTCCACTGAGTCCTTTTGCCCACAGAAAAATGCAAAACAGAACACTACTCTTTGGTAGCATTCCCCTCAAGCACAGTCGCTATTCTGACTACTGAAACCAGCCTCTTAACATGCACATGTGTATCTCTTACCTAGATCTTTTTATTGTGAAAGAGAATTGTAAATACAAAAAGGGCCTAGGCATTTCCCATTCAACCATGAGACCTAGATTGTCATGAGGCTGGACTGTGCTGCTACCTAGTGTTACACATAGAAAACCTTTCCATTACAGCTATTTCACCCCCATATGTGACCTATTTAGTGGCACTCCCCTGTACATACAGATTTTGGTCCGTTAAACGCACTGTCCACTGTGCCTATTAGATTGGATAAGGCATTAGCCGCCACTCTTTCCCTCCTGGGGCTGTTGGACCAAAACCTATACATACATAAACACTCAAGCTACTCACTTTGATTCTGAAGATGCAGGCAGCATGTGCTTCCAAAGCATCAGCAACATGCCAACCTTCACATGATCTCAGAAAATGAATGATATTTCATTTCGAAAAAAAACTGTCTCAACAAACACGTAAATTTGAGCTTCATATGTATACTGAACTGTACATACAGTAAATGTTTACTAACCTTTCTCTGAAGTCTAAAAGTGGTGGATCAAATTTTAAATGAAGTTTATTATTATACATAGGATTTTCATCTAAACTTGGCATTCTGTAAGAAAAACAAAATACATTAAAGCAAACACTGAAATTGAAGGTTGAATAAAAAGAACTTTAAACCAAGAAACATTATATGGTGGAGCCGCTATGTATCATTAAAATATTGTGCGTTTATGTACCAACAAAAATTAGTAAGTTAAGTTACTGTTAATGTACAAACCCAGGATAGCTAACTCAGGCTCAGAAATCAGGGTTCAATTCCCAGCACAAGCAAGAGACTTCTATTTACCCCTATCCAGACCGGCCCTGGGGACCACTCACCCTCCCATCCAAGGAATATCAGGATAACTTTCTCAGGTGGTAAAGTAGTTGGGGTGTCATATTGACCACTCACTTCACTCTAGTGCTAAGATTAGGACTGCGTAGAGCTAGACCTCCACTCCCCTATATCACCGCCTGAGTACTGGGTTGTTCCAGTTCTACTTTTAAGTGAAAATGAGAAAATTCACTTTTCTCATTCTCCGTAACCTAAACAACTGTTGAACATAGGTTCACATTCACAGCTTTTAAATGCCTATTTTAAAAGATTTCAGTAATCTGGGATGTGATGCCAGTTATCTTCTTTTGTATGTTTTGCATCCTGTTGTGTATGTCACAACTACATAATTTATTTAAACATTGTAATCTTGCGTAAAAACTTATACATGACAAGATTAATAGCTATGGATCTATCACAACATGAGGTCCGCTTTAGAACGTAGATGGATTCTGCTGTTTATAAATGCCTGATGATGGTCATAAATGACTGAAACATGCAGAAAAAATAATATCTTAATTAATTGATTTTATTCACATTCCATCCTATCAGTTATTTACTGAAAGCACAGAACTGTCGTAAACAACGGACAAATCTACATATGAGTAGCAGTGCGAAGTAATTCAGTAGAAATTTAGCGATGTTTCAGAGGAATGTCTACCTCCATCTGCAGGATAGAAGATGGGAGGTAGAAGACGTATTTTAGAGTTAAGTATAAATCAGATATCAGAAGCGATTTCTCTCAACTACCAAGTGGGGTTTCAGTTAACCCCTTCCCATACTAACTGTTCAAACAAATCTTTAATTAAGCGTTTATTTACAGCAGTTCCTTCACTCCCATTCTGGAACTCTAAGATGTAGTTCAATATATCATGATACACAAAATTAATAATTTTATAAAGTTCTGTATGTGCATAATTCCTCTGAAACACATTCTTACAGTCTGGATTCACAATTTTAGAAATAGACGCTAAATGACACAAGGCCAAACAAAATATTAAGATAAAATTGCTAACTTAAAGAAGTGCAATGCCTAATAAACACATCTTAACCATATGGATGTAGCAAGAACTTGATAAAGTCACAGCAATGGAGACCAGTGAGATAAAAACAAAGTGGTTACAGCACTTGGGGCAGAAGAATAATGGAAAAGTGATAATGATACTGGCTGGATGCCTGAGGAATCAAAGAATTCAATATCTGGCATGAGCAAGAGATTTATCACCTCCTGACAGCATCCAGACAGCTCTGGCACCCACCCACCCTCCTATCCTCTGGGGTCCTTTGGGGGGGGGGTCTTTCGCCAGGACGTAAAGCAGCCAGGGAGTGAAACTGACCACTCACCTCCATCTAGTACCAGCAAAGTTAAGTACGTGAGCAGCTATATCACCATTCCTCCATATAGTTTCATGGCATGCTGCTTAACAAACTTTATCTAAAACATTTTTGAGTGTATGTCATACATTAAGTATGCAACCTTACAGAATTAAAGTCCCGTGTGTTGAATGAAACCTCCAGTATGGCAATTTTGGTTCACATCGCACATTTAAAGTGAAATCTTACAAGTTTCTCATGATGATGTAACAATCTACATCACTATTTGATAATGATACACTCTTAAAGATGTTTTAGACATAGTTTAATTATTAAGTGTTGCACTACTTAGTACGAACAGAATAAAATAAAGGAAGTGGGCTAAACCATCACCAATACAAAAATATTCCAATCACTTACCTAACACCTGAAGAACTTGAGAATTCCTGCAAGACATAAAATTCCTGAGATTAGAAACAAAAACAACAATGATGACTCTGCATTCTAAATCCTCAAAATCCTTTAAATCCTCTTCCCCATAAAGTAATGATAATCACGAGTACAGAAATTTAGTTGACCATCTACTGACAAAGCAGTGAAATGTCACAAATGTTATGTTATTTCATGGGTTAATTAGTGACACTTCAGTATCGAGAATACACAGTGTCAGATACCAGGATGAGTGAAGAAGTTTACAGGATATGGAAATAAGCAAGCATGGCATCTGCCTTGAGGGACTGAGAGAAATCATAGATGCTCTAGCATGCAGATCTGATGCTGGGTAACGGTCATGAAACCACGCCTGTTGCTACGGCAGCAGATTCTTAATAAACAGGGTTACGCAACCCTTTCTGGGTAACAGCTTGGTGAACACATTCCCACAACAATGGACATCAATGCAACAACAGAAGAACAGTGTTTTCTATGTGGTCTGTGCCCAGGAGTTATAATCAGGACAGTTGGAGCAATGAGTTCAGTTGAGTTCTGCACAGGAGGCTGTGAAGTTAGGACCTGAGCACGTGAAGCTGAAGAATATCCGCTGCCAGGGAACGGCTTGTGAAGACTGGAAAAGGATTAGAGGGTACTGTGACGATCTGTGAGTTGTGAAGTGAGCCAGCGGGCAACAGCGTGTCCACAGATGCTGAAGAACCTCCATTGTTAAGAACCATTACCAGGAAATGACTAGTGAAAGCAGAGAGATTTTGTGTGTGTGCCAGAGACCTGTAAAGCGTGTAGATCAGCGACAGTGCTGTATGTGCCTGTAGTTAGAAGTTATGTGTATAAGAGATCAGTAAATCCCTTTATCCCATCTATGGTCACACCTCTACATAATGATAATACCCTCATCCAGGAAAACTGGTGGGGAGGGTGATATCTGAATTGAGCACCTCCCAAACTTTGACTACATAATGTTAAAAGGAGATCCTTTCTAATAATAGTATATTCATTTATTAACAATTACAAATTTGGTTTCCAAATGCCAATTTTGATATTTATCCAGCTCGCAATACTGTCAACTCTATCCACAGAAATAAAAAAAAACCAGCTCTATTCAGTCTCAGCCTTTAATGGTGATCAGTAACCAATTGTTTTAATAAAATGAAATGATATACCTTGAATGACATGCAAGAATAAAGAAGCATAATAGCATACCCAGAAAACCAAACATTTCAGAACAAGATTAACTATATGGAACATAATGCTTGTTTCTCACCATATGACATGACTTATGACATAATACATATAAGAGTAGATAACACAGATGTGAACGAAACTAACCTACCCTTCCTAACCTTCATAATCATCCAGTAACATTTACAGGTACAGAAGATGCTATATGGTCTGGTAGGGAATCAAGAGAAGCAACTGAGGTTAATTCATTCTAACAAGACTCAACTAAGCACATGCCTCAGCAGCCTTTCACCTGAGGATGGATAACAGATATTGTTTCTGAAACACTGTGTTCTATTTAGAGTATCAGGTAGTGGACAAATCTCAGGAACTCAGCAATCCCAAATCAACACCTTGCTCTGTCAACCACAACAATTTACCTACATTAGCATTAGTACAGTATGCCAAACTTAAATAATCATTTTAATTCTGTAAGAAGCACAATTTACAAGATTCATACATTCTGGGTATAAGTTATAATTTTTCAGAAATCAGAGCTCCTTCTCTTTTTAAATAACTTCTTCAAACCTCTTTCCCTTACATATGGTACCCAAAATTCATGTAATGGAAACACATGTTTTGCTACTTATGTGGTAACATATCGTATACATTTATAAAACTACGTTCATTAACATTTCTGATATTCAGAGTTTCTGTAAGCAGTATAACAATATATTGTCAATGACAAATGACATAGCTACATGATTTGAAGTTAATTTCTACTTAGTACTTTTCACTCGGTAATGGAACGTCGGCAACATCGTTAAACTTATACAAATATTATAGAGAAGTTATATAATTAAAATAATGACAAAATTTTACCTTGTGCATGGGAGATACTGCCATACCATCAACAAGATATCTGACTTCATTATTGGCTTGCATAAAAGCTGTAAGAATAAAACACGTACTTTAAGAAGTGAAGCAATACGTACCCAATGAACAAGACTACACACAGTCTGAAATATAACAGCCTAAATGAATGACAAGATGCAAATGAAACAAGAACTGAATGGTACGGCAGAAGGGGTAATTTTGGAATATGTTTGAAAATGGCAGTAACTAAAATATAAAACACACTAAATTTATTATTTTGCCTTACCATGGCTATTTCCATGTATTGTCATTTTAGTTTTCACAACCACTTCTAATAATGTTAAGAAAAATATAAAACAAACTGCGTGTTCAGCCATTCTCAGCTCCATACTTTGGAATTTCGTCCACCAGCCAAACGGCGGCCATAACACTATCGATTAGTTACTGACTCGATGTGTGGATGGTGTGGATCGATTGGGAGAGAAAGTCACATAGAGATATCGCATACATTCTTCTTCTTCTTTGTTGCTGCTTTCTCCAACGAAGTTTCAACTATACGCGATAGAAAATAAAAATTATGAAAAGCGCACAGGGTGCATGGTGATTGGAATTAACTCCCTCTGCATCATTTACTAGGTAGCAAGCAATGTGCCAATTCATCTTGAGCATCTTGAGTTGGGATGGCTGGGATAGCTCAGTCGGTATGACTAGACTACGAGCTGTACGACCGAGGAGCTGAGGTTCGATTCCCTGTACGGGCAAGAGATTTTCTCTTCGTGTTCATACCAACCCTGGGGCCCACCTAACCTCTTGTACACTGTGCACCAGAGGTTGTGCTTCCAGGGGCAAGGGTTAAGTGACGGGGGTGACGCTGACAACCATCAAAGGCCAAGGCTGAGAATGGTGGAGCTATACCTCCACTCCCTCATATGTCTTCACGGCGTGGTACTAAATTAATTACATTCAAACATACTTTATCTTTAATATGACATCTTTCACATGCTTGTCTGAAGAACACAAATATAATTGTATCCCTGGACGTGAAAATTACGCTGATCTTGTGGTGAAAAATCATGCACTGCCTAACGTGTCATTACCTCTGACCTTGTATTTTCACATACATCATATACCACCTAGTTAGTCCAAATTCAGTCAATACTGTACGCATCAAATTATGATAATTCACGGCCTCAATATCGCCTCAAGCTATTTCACTGGCACTACCATCCAGTTCAGCCTTTAACCAGTACTAATATTGTGATCCTCTGGGTTATGGCACTGTGTAGTTTTGTATGTACAAGCTTCCTGTTTGAACACAGATTTGTATTTTGGAGATCATAGGTTCAAATCCAAGCCTGAGGAGTGACTATCCTTACTGCATTTCTTATGTGCTCTTCCCCAGTCCCTCCAGGTAAATGTTATACTATTATCTTAAACTACAAAATGAACAGTGCCTTCTACATTCATTCCAATTTGTCATTCACTTATCGTAAAATTTGACACCACAGTCTGGACAGCTCATAGCATCGTTAAATAAATCCTGATTAAATAAATAATACCATCTTCATTCAACACTGTATCCCAAATGATTTCTTTCTATAAAGCCTTAGTAACAAGATTTTCTGGGCATTTTCCTTTCACATATTCCCACTCAAAATAACCAATTTCTATCCACATTATGCAAAATTCACACTGCGGATTTTTTTCTCATTATTTTAGATGTTCACTTTATTCAGCTGGTGAAGAAATTCTAAGTACCTTAAGGTTCATTATTACAAATTACTAAAAACAGAACCGGAACTCAATTTGACAAGGATGTGTTCTTCTGTGTGGATTATGCATCCATATACTTATGGAACAACTAATAATACATCAACAAAAACACGTCAGTTAATGATAAGTTTAATGACTATGTCACCATGAAAAATATACTTTGTTCATAAATATTTGTATTCAGTCCCATAACTATGGTTCTTCTAGCCTTGAACTTAACAAGAGAAGTAACTAAAGTGTGGTTCATGGGATGAATGTGCAGTCGATGAAAGTCAGTCTGGTGTCCCGACATCGGGATGATATTAATAATGGGGCTGTCTACTATTTTCTATTTTTTCATTCATAGTAACATACAGACAATTAATATATTTACATAAATGCAAGTTTCTGGGTCGCATATATGTACTTACTACTCCAATTTATAACACCTGCAACGGGACACATGCAAGCTAAATGGGACTCATCCTGATAAGGTTTCAAATGTGACACCAACGACACCCAAATTAACTATTATTATTCTTCATTGTGGTATTTTCATGTATATTGTCCATAAATTACTAAATTAGCATGAATAATTGATAACTCCTTTTATCAACTTCCAAAATACTTAATTCTTCTTAATTAGACCCTTAAGATCACAATCAAACTAAAAAAGCTCCATGTGGCCATGAGTAAGAGTTGCACACCCTTGACCTACAGGAAGACCGGAAAGTTCTGTTACCTTCTGTGTGTTTTGTATATTGTGTCCAAATGGCAACAGTTTTTTTTTGCAGGTTTTATAATTTTGTACACAGTGGCTAATGAATCTGCTGTAAAGGACTGGAACATAACCCATAGAACATTATAATTTGGCCAACAACGTATGCTACTTTGAGGGTCCCATCAACTTTTGGGATCTTTTATTTTAATTCTACTATGGCTCATCCTTCAGTGTTTTCAGAATATAATGACCTAAACCAATGAACAAACAGAAACATTTTCAAAACGAGTGTAATTCTTACAAAATAAGTGCATAAAATTGTCATTTCCTCACAAATGGACACCAACTTCTTACAAGAGTAACAGCATTCAATGAGGCAGCATGAGCGTACTTAAAGACCGAGTGCTGGATAGATGGAATGAATGGCAAACATTCCAGCATGTCTTGCTTCTAACAAACAATGTAGGTAATGAGATCCAATAAAATGTTGGCCAGAAAACCTAAAGGGAAAATTTTGGGGGGAGACCTACACAGACAGAAGTATAATATTAAACAGGATCTTAGAAAAATATGGCGTGAGGGCATAGACTAGGTTAGTTTTGTTTAGAATAAAGTCTAGTGGTAGCTTCTTGTGAATACAAACGGCAAACCTTCTCATTCCAGGAAAACAGCAAGGAATTTGTTTGATAACTGGATGACTATTAGGTTCTCAAGAACGACTCTGTGTCATGAAGTTATTATGGAACTGACAGAGGAGGAAGAAGACTTACATTCCCATATTGTCCATTTGAGACATCTCTGAGGGTATGTTATACCTCGAGTAAGCAACCTTATGGAAGAAAAGTCCTGTGTGTTAAATCAGATCTTCAATATGATGAATTTGGTTTGAAAACAACATCTAGCAGACTTCTAATAATGACTTATACCAAAGTCTAATGATGATGCAAGCTCAGATATATTTCAGATGGACTCCAAATTACATGTAGTGCTGTAACTGTTCACATACAACAACGCTTCTTTTAATAAAGTACATCATACAACATAACATTTGGGGTTCTCACCCTCTTCTGGGATGTGACAGTATGTAGTTTGGTAAGTAACTACCAAGGTTTTTAAAGTACACGCTACCTTCATCCTCAGGGCTTAAGATGCCACTCTCTTCTACCCCAATGATGGAGGCACCATATTCCTATGAAATCTTGGTACATATTTACTGGACTTCATGGTATCGTATCCCACAAAAAAGTAATCTTTAACAATAGAGAACCTTCACACTGGAACTCGATAACCACGGTCTATATTGCAGTATGTTTATGAAACATGTACTACATCCACAGTTTCAGTCATACCACTTCTTTACAGGGGCAGCCATCAACTTTTTCTTATACTGGCCCACCAGGTTACTGAATGCTGTATCATCCTCATCAAGTTTTCTTTTAACTCCCTTCTTCGGCTGAAAATACACACAAAAGAGTCATCCCTGTGAATATGTGATATACCATCCTGACTTATGTCAGGATGTAAGGTTAAGTTCCATATTCCTTTAATCTCAGAACTATATGTACCTCACACACAGTGAAATCTGTGGCAGATGGCCACCTGCAGCTGCATGCAAAGAATGTATTAATTCACACATGACCAACCTAATCTACCTTGTATCTTGCACGTCTTCATCCATTTCTTGCCATGCTTCTCTACATATTTTAACCTTTCTAAGTTTCCCTTGCAGAAAAGTACCTCTATACTATTCACATTCATCTCAGGTTCATCAATTTGATGATAAGTATGCAGTCTGCTCAAAAATAAAATAAGAGCTTCAACAAACCCAATATGGTATCAAAATTAATACAAAACAGTTAATTATGCAGTCACTCCAGACACAAACATGGGAAATGTTAGCATTATTTTATGCAAGTTGGCTGGGTGTAAGTGGAACCACAGGTAACCAACACAGATAGGTTTCACTGTACATAACTTTCTTGTGCCTCACCGATGAGGCCAGTGTTCCAGTCTACTCCATTTCAGAAGATGAAGGCACTGTGACCTAAATATTTTAAACGTTCTAAGGCTCTGAATTTTGATACTAACCTGTGGATCTTTCTTTTTTTCTTTCATACTGCGTCTCTGCTGGTCAAATCTGCGTTTTATCTTTTGTCTGTGTTTGTCTTTGTGCAGGGACTGCTTATGGATTTCAGCTTGGGTCTTGAGTCCAAACCGAGTACGTAGCTTCTTGTTTCCTGGTTTTGCTGTGATGCCCACAAACTCTTCCGTTTCCTCTGTCATTATAGTGTCATTCCCCGTTCTTCTTTCATCTGGATCTTCATTGTTCCTTAATGACTTTCCTGTCTTACTAGCACATTTACCAACATGCTGACCACTATACAATGGATTCTTGGCTTGACTTTTTTCCAAGCGTTTTTGTTTTATATTCATGATAGCCTTGTTTTCTATGGAAAATGCCACAATTGGTCTCTGTTAAAAATTAATACATCAGTGTAATCAATTAAAAATTGTGAAACATTTATGTATTGTGTCAGTTCTTCTGTATAATACACTTTACCAAATGTGACTGATATACAGTAAGATGCGAAGTTCTCGTAATAATAGATATGATGATTACTGTCTTACAGAACATGATACAATGGTAGAAAGATTCAATGTTTTAGAGAAATAAATGACCTTTATCATCAGAGTAGAAACTACTGAAATGTTGGTAAACCTTCTACCAGGCTACATTGCATCACACCCTACAAGATAGTAGTTTTAATTTTTATAAGTTTCATTTGACATTAGTAATAATGGACTAGCATGGACTGAAATGAAATTGGTCCATAACTTTGGTCCTGATGCTCCATCACTTCATAAAAATCCACTAAGAGATGAAAGATAGAGAGAGAAGGTTGGATGGACATCATAAATTAATTTTATAAACTTGGTACAAAGAACGTTTAAAAATATTTATAACATTACAATGTTACACTGACATCATATTGGTGCAAATGAAACATTATAATTTTAAGTTCAGTTGTGATTTGCCACAGAAAATGTTTTTTTTTTGCAAGTGTGTGTGAGCTAATTAGAGCATAAGTACCACACAACCGGCATTTTCCACAAGCAATCAAAGTCAGAGCACTGCTTACTCATATTCTGCTGGACACACAAACCCAGAAAACCACATGTAACGGCAATCCACAAAATTACTTAAAAATGTAGTGCTATCTTTGTGCCACCCTGCAGAATCTTGCTTTGTATATGATGGTCTTGTTCCTTAAAAAAAAATACAATGGAACCCTCATTTAACACTCCTCAAATTAAGATTTCCCTTCATTTAACATTCATTTTCGATGTTATCAAGTCAATAATCTCAACATTAAATTCCTCCATTTCAGATTTTCTTCAGTTTAGTGTTAAAATCTACTGCTCCTCTAAGATACCCTAACTGGAGTTTCACTCTCTTAATATTTGTTTAAAGACTTTCCTACTATTGGAGAACTAAGATATTACTACTTTTGCTAATATTCTGAAACAAAATGTAAGNTTTTTTTTTTGCAAGTGTGTGTGAGCTAATTAGAGCATAAGTACCACACAACCGGCATTTTCCACAAGCAATCAAAGTCAGAGCACTGCTTACTCATATTCTGCTGGACACACAAACCCAGAAAACCACATGTAACGGCAATCCACAAAATTACTTAAAAATGTAGTGCTATCTTTGTGCCACCCTGCAGAATCTTGCTTTGTATATGATGGTCTTGTTCCTTAAAAAAAAATACAATGGAACCCTCATTTAACACTCCTCAAATTAAGATTTCCCTTCATTTAACATTCATTTTCGATGTTATCAAGTCAATAATCTCAACATTAAATTCCTCCATTTCAGATTTTCTTCAGTTTAGTGTTAAAATCTACTGCTCCTCTAAGATACCCTAACTTGAGTTTCACTCTCTTAATATTTGTTTACGGACTTTCCTACTATTGGAGAACTACGATATTACTACTTTTGCTAATATTCTGAAAGAAAATGTAAAGAAAGACATGTACAGAGATCTCCACCTAAGAATAATCCTTACCCTGGATGATGTAAATATATTTGGGTTGTTGTTAATATTTCTTAAAGCCTGCAATGCATGTTCATGGGTTGTAAAGGAAACAAAACCAAATTCCTTGGATTTACCAATCCCCTGGGCATCAACATTCTTCATGTCACGCATAATTCGAGCCTGAAACAAAGTTAAAATCTTTGAAATTTAGAAACAATCATACTTGGTCCGTAGACATTATAAACAATTAACATTTTCTTCCCTCAAATACTGACACCTTTGATAATGATCATTCATGCCACCTTCACTCATCACTATATGTCACTCGCATTCGTGCATGGACCGAAAACCAAAGTGCACATTTTTGTCAAAATCAGTGCCAGTGCATACGAACCTCCTTGATAACTGCCTTAGGTCCAGAATGTTGGAGGAACAGCTGGCGCAACCTGGCATCATTCCAAGATGGAGGCACGTTATGAATCACTAAGCGGTACCGAGATACAAACATATTGAGGTTACGTAACATCTGGCTTTTCCACTGCTCTAACTGTAGACGCCTCTCCATATCTGCCACAGACACACCCGCTGCAGCTCTGCTCCCAGCCAAGATAACTGCAGAAAGAAACTGTTAGTATTCTTATTCTGTCAGTCTACAGGACTTGTGAGAGGCCTGACATTCTATTAAGCTCTGACAAGTTCCAAATGAAAAGCCAGTATAAAACTGAGGAAATAATAATAACCATAAGGTAACATTTTTCAGAAGCTTTAAGATGTTACAGAATTTTTAGTTTAGCAAGTAAATTTAGCACAATTTTTCAATTCCTGCTTCTCAGAAAGGCAAAATAACTTACTTACTTACTTACTCATGGAGCTGAGCCCTTCTTGAGGAACCGCCAATTCTGCAGCCACTCAAAAATTTCCCAGCATTTTATGGAACCCGAAGGTTCATTACCGTGTTCATGAGAGCCCTTCACTGGTCCCTATCCTGAGCCAGATTACTCCAGTCCATACCATCCCATCCTCTCTCTCTAAGATCCATTCTAATATTGTCCACCCACCTACACCTTGGTCTTCCCTGTGGTCTCTTTCCTTCTGGCTTTCCCACAAATATCCTATACGTATTGCTTGTCTCCCTCATTCGTGCTACATGACCTGCCCACCTCATCCTCCTTGACTTGATCATTCTAATTAAACTTGGAGAAGAGTACAAATTATGAAGCTCCTCATTATGCAGTTTTCTCCAACCTCCTGTCACTACATCCCTCTTCAGTCCAAATATTCTCCTCAACACCCTGTTCTCAAACACCCTCAGTCTATGTTCCTCCCTTAATGTCAGAGACCAAGTTTCATACCCGTACAGAACCACAGGCAAAATTATAGTTTTGTACATTCTAATTTTTATGTTTTTGGACAACAGACGAGAAGACAAAAGGTTCTGGACTGAATGGTAGCAACCATTACCAGAGTTCAATCACCTCTTAATTTCCTCCTGAATAAGGTTTTGATCTGTTATCGTTGTTCCCAAATAACTGAACTGTGCAACATTTTCAAAACACCTGTTTCCTATCTTTATGTCATGATTTTGCCCTGCATTTTGGTGACGAGACAGTAACATATACTTAGTTTTCTCTGTGTTTACTTCTAGACCAAAATTTTATATGAAGTTGATAGCAGTGATATTCCCCGATAATTTTCTAGACAGTCAGTTCATAGATGGCGGTAAGGTTGTCAGCCTTACGTGCCGGCCCTATACCCCCAAGAATATTCCTGGTACTCAATACTGTTAGCGGCCGAGTCGACCCCAGGGCCATAGTGCTGCTGGAAGGATTAGGGCAATTGAAAAAATCCACCTCATCAGGATTCGATCCAGCGACCTTCCGGCTTGTAGCATAGTGCCTCAACCAACTACGCTACCGTGTACCCCTAGGTAAAATAAATACTGGATGGAAACTGACAACAAAGTGACAGAACAAACATAAAAGTCACATAAAATTAAACATGGTAACTTAATGGATCACAAAGTTAGCAACAAAATTCTTAGAGAATGGAGAAAATTTGTTAACAGAGGCAGAAGTGGAGCAATAAAAATGGTTTGGTCATGCAAAAAGAATGGATACAGAGAAGGGCACCAGAATTACACTTTAAAGGAAAGACACCTATGTAATGGCACAGACCAAGGTGGTTAGGCTTAGGTATCAGAACACATCAAAAAGAGCGCAAAGATACAGCAAGATACTGAAAAGAAAGGACTGTCAGAAGAAAGAAAAGACTGGACATATTAAATCCATCAGCCTGTATAAGACAGAAACCCTGAAGGATCAGGATAAATGGAATTTATTCTTTGATATCTAAGATAATTAACCTCCTTCCTTGACAAGGTACAAATTTCTGCTGTCTTTATTCTTCTGTATGTCACGCTTCAGGTTTGTCTTCTGCTGAAGCTGGTCCTTGTTCAAAGCCTCGTACACATCCAGAGTGTGGTCAAGCAGTGACAATTCTGTGCCTGCAGCTAAACACAGCTTTGCACTCTCTTTTGTCTGTAACATATACAACTGGCATTAATAATGTTCTTTCTGCCTGCCTGTGGAAGGAAATGACACATTCTGGTGTCACCACATCTGTACATTTTTAACCTTTAAAATTCTAATAATTTCAACAGAATTCAGTACAGAATTATCCCTCAGCTTTTGATATAAACTTCACTGATATCTGAGATTAGATATACTCATAATAATGAATATTAAGATTATTATTTGCAGTGTGACATCATGTAGTGTGGTAGGCAGGTAGAGTGCTACTATTTAGTGGTGCATTGCAGAAGACTGTAATCATAACTGACATTTCACTATTTATAGTATTTAGTTGTGAATGCCTTTATCAGCAATAGGTGAAAATCAAAATAATATAACGAGACATGTGACAGAAGTGTAGAGAAAACAAAGTTAATTCAGAGAGTCACATAGAGTGCATCACTGGTATTACCTACCAATCATATTGGCATGGGTCATCAGCAGGAATCTTATTCACTCTTCATAACAGTTCAGACAGCCATATATATTCTTCCTGTTTCAATGCAGATAAACTTCTAACTTGCTATAAACTTCTAACTTGCTGTTCACTGCATCATATCAAATGGAAATGGCACAAAAAGAACAAGAATTAGGGCAGGGGAGGTAGAGGGAGAGGGGGAGGAGAATAAATGGCTGAAGAAGAAAAGTGACAAGGTAGAATAACAACAGAAGGATAGGGTGGAAGAACTGAAGGAAGAAGAGAAAGAGGTGGCAAAAGAAAGAAAAGAAGAATGGAAGGATGAGGAAACATTCCAAGCTGCATAACCGCACAGAATAATTACCAACTAAACCGGTAGTAACAAAGTCCATTACTTGGCCACCAGAAACTGAAAGACCACCGATTTACATGTGCTAGATGAACTGCTGACCCAATAATTTCTACTGTTAGGACATTATTTTGCATTCATTAACATCATTTCAATGTAATGTTCCAACCAGTGCTACAATCCTTTAAAAAATGAACACAAAACTACTGTATTTCCTGGTGTATAATAACCATTATTTTTCCTCCATAAAACGACATTAAAAATCGATGCATCCCATATGTAAATGCAGTTCTGAAAGGATTTTTCTTGGTTTTTTCTTCCTAAACCATTATGTGCCTTATATACCAGGAAATATGATACTTCCACAAATGAAATTCTGGCATACCTGGAATTTTACAAATGCTGTCCCTTTTGAATGTTCTGTTACAGGATCTATACATATGAGAGCATAAATTACTGGACCAAACTGTTCCATACAGGTTTTAAGATCATCATTATTAGCTGAAAATGGAACATTCTTTACGAATACTGTCCGTCCTTCAGAAACATCATTGGAAATCATCTTGGGTTTTCTAATGTCATCTTTTTGTTTAGGTTTTACATCTGACCTAAAACATAAATGTATGTTTCTTTATTGTTCAGCTTAACATAGTTGTAAACAAAGTCTTTACAATGTGTTGACTGATGTACAGGTCTTTAACCCCATAAGTGCCAAATGTTAAAATTTCCAATGTTTACAAACATATCTGTATCTGACAGCAAGTGACATTTTATTCAAAATACATCGTAAAAAACATCTGGAATGAATCTTTTCCTTGCAAATTCTCTGGCAGCTTTACATACATTATTTACCCAAGAAAGAATAGCAACTCTGACACCCCAGAATGGGGGTTTGGCTCAGTAGGAATTAAAACCAGCACTTCTAGGATCAAGACAATTTAATGTGTGTGTGTGTGTCTGTGTGGATGCACACATGTACATGTGCTAAAGTTTTAAAACTCACTCATCATCTGTGTCTTCGACTGATTCCCCGTCTTGTTCCTCACTATCTGAACTTTCACTTGTATCAGATTTACTATCACTGTCACCTCCTTCTTCTTTTTCTGATTCATCAGAGAGTGGTTCAGTCTTGATTTCTACAGGCTGAGCATCACAGCCCTCAACATCTGAAGCTGACTTGTTCACAGTCTCTTTAACATCACCTGGATCCTCCTCTTTTATTTCAATATCTTCTTTGGTTGAAGATTCATTTGTTGTAAATACAGATTTTGGTACAGCCCAATCCACAATTATTGTTCGTCCTGTATGAAAAAAATTACAGTATCCTGTTGTGACGTTGGTAACCACGTATCACACTACACACTAACATAAACCAGACAACAATGTAAATCCCCAGTATCACGGTAGCCTTAAATCTTAGACACTTCAACTGAGGTTACTTATAAGTTGGAGAGAGAACTCTGTAATACATTTGTTATTGTTATTAAATATAATATATCTAAGCCCTTCTGTAGAATTGTAACGATAATACAGAATGTCACAAAAAGGCAAAGTTGTCCCTGTGCTTAACTAATTAAGCACTATGCCATGAAGGTGTATGGGGAAGTGGGTGTATAGATCCACATTTTCTAGACCTTGGCACTAGCTGGAGGTGAGTGGTCACCTTCAAGCCCATGTTGCTTTGCCCCTGGGAAAAGAGATCTGGTACCAAAAGGACAGGAGGTTGGGTGGACCCAAGAGCCGGTCTGGACGACATGAGAAAATTCTTGACTGTACCGGGACTCTAATTCCAAACCCTCGGTCGTCCAGCCTATAGCTAGTCGCTATGCCAACTACACTATTCCAGTTTCTAGAATATCACAAACATTATTTTATAACTAACAAACTACATGGACCAGACACTTTCTTTAAGCAAAAATAATATCCCATATAGGCAAGAAATTTCTTATCTTTTAGGAAACCTAAGTGTTAATTCCTGTGTCCAAGAGACTGTCGCTGGGCCTTACTGTGAGTCGAAACCAGCAGATACCTGGAAACCCCCCTCCTCTCTGCCACTCACTTATATCCTGGCCCAGCCATTTCTTTTACAGTACACTAACAGTTTGCACTATTGCAGTGTAAAGATATGAATAGCAAACAATCTCCACACACGTCCAAGAAATCACAAAGGTAGCTTCAGTAGAAGGCTCAATTAATGCTCCTCCATTTGAGCTTTTCCCAATTTAATGCTCAATTTCTGTTGCTCGAAGTCAATGTCAGTCTTAAATTTCCTCAATTCAAAATTTTCCTCAGTTGAGCGTTCAAATCCAGTGATCCTGAACGTAAAGGTAAAGTTGTCACTGTGTTTAGTTAAGCACTACACAATGAAAATACATATATGGGTGAGGGGAGGTACAGATCCACGTTTCTTGACCTGGACACTTGGCAAACCTTAAATGGGAATATGGTAACAGTAGAAAAGACTGTGAAGTCATAGCATGTTCTGAAAGAGAAATATTTTGGCTTGTCACAGTGTGCTACTATCAGACTTTGATTGGATTTAACTGTGTGGATAAAGCACCAATAAGTTACCTGTGTCAGATAGGAGAGTGAAAGAGTTAATAATAACCATTTCAGTATTATCCACCCATTTATATCTAGGTCTAGTCTGTATAGTTTTAAATATTTATACACTCACCCAGCAGAGGTTTCCCACTGCAACTCAAGATAGCCTTAGCTGCACTATTCTTCTTTGCAAATTGAATGAATCCACAACCCACAAGTTTCCCATCACCTTTATGAAGCAAGTTAACCTCTGTAATTTCTCCATACTTCTCAAAATGTTTATGGAGAACTGATTCTGTTACCTGTACAAACAAATAAAAAAACAGAATTATGCCATCAAATGTTACAAAGTTGTGTCATTAACAGATTATATATACACATTGATAAAATTAACATATTCATAGAAGCAGTGATTTAGATGTGCTTTCAAATGTCTGGAAAATAAATCAAATACAGTAGAGTCCTTTTAAGACTGCCTCTGTGGTCTAGTGGTCAGAGCTCCTGGCTAGAGATCCACAGGTCCCGGGTCCGAATCACGGCGCTACCAGATTTTCTGCGAAGTAGTGGGTCTGGAACGGGGTCCACTCAGCCTCGTGAGGATAACTGAGGAGATATTTCAAGGAAATAGTGGCTCCAGTCTAGAAAACCGAGATTAATGCCCGTGGGGAACCATTGTGCTGACAATGCGATACCCTCTATCTGCAAAAGTTGGCACTAACTTCGCTGACAAATGGCGGTTGCTTGGTCGGTATAGTTTGCTTGTGGACTACATGCCATGGACTTTGTTTTTGTACAGTCCTTTAACACCAAATTTTCGGAAACATGCATTTTATACTGTACTTAAGAGAACTGTCATGCATTTCTACAGTGGAAATGAATAAGACCTATAGATCAGAAAGAGATGTAGTAGAATATAGACTGACTGCTCTATTCACCTTGAAAGGCAAATTCCGGACAATAAGTCGGCCCTTCTTGGCATTTCTATTTTTCTTACATTTCTTGGTTTCTATATTCTGCACTACTTCTTTAACTGAAACCTTAAGCTTCTTTCCAACGTGACTGGATTCCTCTACACATTCAGACTTCTCCTTTTTTAATGCAACATCTTCCTCAGGCTCATCCTTCACTTTCAGCAACACATCAGTATTATTCTCCTTTCGCAACCGTGGTACAGCCCAATCAACGACTATCTTCCGCTCTGCAAGCAACAGTACATTCCATAATCAATATTTGCTATAATTTCATGACAGTTCAGAGAATTATTGCAAGAAACATAACTTGTAACTTACTTTCTCATTTATCTGCTCGCTACTCATAAAGTTCACAGGATATATGAAATGTATGATGGTTTCTTCTATTAATTGTTTCTAAGAAACCTTACTTCTCTATTAAATAACATATATACTTTTATCTCGCCACTCTCTCTAATGCTATGTAAATAAAATGTTACCACCATTTCTTACCCATGAAATCTTTTCCATTACATCGTTTGATAGCCTTCACTGCACTTTTCTCTTTAGTAAATTGAACGATGCCACGGCCAACAAGATTACCAGAATCATTTTGTAGAATTTTTACTTCACACACATCCCCAAACTTGCTAAAATATTCCTTGACACCTTCTTCAGTTGCCTAATGAAACAAATGATAGCTAATTAGTAAAACACCCGGTGATTATTTTAAACACAAAGCAAACATTAGACATACCTAATATCAACAAAGTCGCTTAACAATTATAACATAGGAATAAGTAACTAACTCGATGGAAATGAGTCCTTCTCAAGAAGTTCTCAGTCACTCAGCTACTAAAGAATTTCCCAAAATTTTATGAAACCCTAAAGTTCATTATCACATTCACAAGAGCTCTTCACTGGTCCCTATCCTGAGCAACATGAATCCACTCCATACCACCCAATCCTATCTCTCTACCAATCTCAAGTCGTTTCCCCTCTTAAGTTGTTTATAAAATAGAGTCTGTCCAAGTCTGAGGCACTGTGTGACATTTCATAACAGAATTACTTTTTTATGGTGAGGGGTTGCTAGCACCACATCCAGCTCCAAAGATTGAGGATCACCTCCTGTCAGCTGTCTGTGACTGTTTATTCAATATATACACAGCAACCCTCCATATCTGCAGGCCAACTCCTCCATTCACAACCCAAGGTCACGCCATGCCATAGTGACAAGGGACCCACCTATCATGGATAATTCAGGAATAGGATACTCTAAATTCCTCAGAACTACAGAGCTGCCAGCTGGATTTTAACTCTGTGAAAACATGCAATGCTCAGACAAGTTGACCAAGCATATGTGCTGTTGCAATAGTGCAACATGAAGTTAATAAAGATTAGAAGATGTGGTTCTGATCTGAAGTACATTACAAGTAAATTCTACGTGAAGAAAGTCTTAATACACTTTTTATAGTATATAACTAAAAGTAAGACACCATCTTAATAATAAATACAAAATGTTGCAAAGTAACTGTATGAAAAGTTTATCAGAACTGTTCAATAAAACAAAGCTGTATGTTTTAAAACATATGACAAGCGTTATGTACAGTTCAGCAGCATGCCATGCAAAGATGCATCCCTGAAGACCTCACACAATTCAAGACAAGTTTTAAAACACATACGTGATTCTTGCAAAACTTCTGACATTCACATTATTTCAAACTCGGAACATAAAGTGAGACTTTGTTAATATTTTTTACTTCACAGTATTTACAACATGCACAATTCAAATTTGCATAAAATGCAACCACACAGCCTATATACAAGATCTGAGGTGCTCATTAAGGTGCACATTAAGCTTTAGTCATCGAAGGTACAAGCCCAATAGTTTGGGTACATAGGTACTGACATTTTGGACTAACCTGTGCTTCCTATTTCAGGGTTGTTCTACCCTAAAGATGGAAGCATCATGTACCTCCAAATGCAAAATGCAATCTACCAAATTACACAGTGACTTTCCAAAAGACTGTAATCTTCATATCCATTTTTAGCATATGTTTTTCTCTATGGAGGGGTTGATTTGGGGTTTCATCATATGTGTGTGTGTCTCCCCTTCAAATAATTCTTGAACAACCTTGTGGTGTTTGGAAAACAATACTTTTTAACCATTACTCACATTAAATGATAGATTCTTAATAACAAGTGTTCCTTTGTTGGGTGTTAACTTCACCTTCAATCTCTTCTTCTTCTTTTTTGCAATCTTTATGAGAGCTGTTTCTTTGTTTTTGAATTTCTTCTTTCCCTCTGTCAACAAAAGCCTCCATAAGTCCAAAGATTTGCCACACAGGTGTGTTATTAAATTAACCCATATGTTTCACACTTCCTACCATCTCACTTTTTGCCAGAAAGATAAAGCGTTAAACACTGTCTCTGTTTCCATCGTCAGAAAAAAGTATGAAACCTACTGAGTTGGGATCAATAAATGGAACTAATATCTGTCCCTAATCTTAGCATAGATATTAATTCTGGAAACAGTAATAAATGATACTTTTAAATTAAAATTCTTAGCAGTGAAATAATAAAAAAATATGAAGGAATCACATTTTTTAACCTGTGACCTTATACGCTACCAAATATAACTTATGAATCTGAAGCAGTCATCAGTATTATTCTTGAACTGTTCTGGAAGAATAGTTGCTTTTCATCACCTCATAAATTGTGAATTCTGAGTATTCAGGCATACCATAATATATATAGAACACAGCTACAGAATAGGGCTTGAATCACTGAAATGGATCCAATAACTCACAGTGCTCTAACTTGTACATAAACTTAAATTCTAAAACAATATCTCCCATTAGATTTTAACGATGTTAAGAGGGCAAATGAGAGAACACCACCACAGTTCACACATTTAAAATACATCAGTGCTCAAGTTACACGCAGAAAAACTGTAATCCACATCTTAAAGCTACACATATATCTGAATTGAATTAAAAAAAAAAAAAGGCAATTTATATTTTGGTTAACATTTTGCCCTTCGCCAGTGGTTTGATTCAGAAAACAAAGTAGTAAAAATTCCGAGGACTTCCATTAACTATGTTTTTAACAAGTTACGTAAATGCCTTAATTATTTCCCATTGTGTCTACTGTATGAAGCTGTTACGTAGAATGAAAAGATTATATGAAAGTCATATAGTTCCTGACATATTCAAATTGGAATTACGCATAGTTTCTTAGTATTCACAAAAATTCGTACAATGACATATATACCACACACTAATCGTTTCCTGTATTAAGACATACTGTTTCAGAGGTGTGAATACGTACTATGAGGCATGGTTTTTGGGAGGTTATGTACAGGTACGTCAATAAGCCGTCATTAAACTACAAAATTGTGTCATTTCATTCTCATTAGAATGTAGACTGCTAACGATCAATACTCAAATTCTCTATCACTTAATATACCGAATACCACAAAACATTATAATTCTTGATTAATTACACCTAGAATGCACAAACTAAGCATAATATACACATCTGCGCTACTGCCACGGATCAATACCTAGTAGGCAGCAATATGGCCGACATGACACCACGGTATAATGCTGCTGCCATCTCTACGCATCCTACATTAACTAAATTGAAAATTATCGACAGGGCCGAGAGCACAATCGATAAGAAGGCATACTTACATAGCAACTCATTTGAGTGCTTCCCCCCCCCTCCCCATTCCTTTCTTCGCTAGAATGGCAATTAATACTTTTTCAACCAGATCTCTTGTACTGCAGAGGTTCCCCCTCACCCCAATCTATTTCTTTTTTTGAATTGAATTCAATATCACTAGTCAAGGAGGACGAGGTTGGCAGGGCATGTAGCACGAATGGAGGAAGCAAGGAATTCATATAGGATATTGGTGGGAAGGCCAGAAGGAAAGAGACTTCTGGGAAGTCCAAGTTGTAGGTGGGTGGACAATATTAAAATGTATCCTAGAGAGATAGGATGGTAGGGTATGGTATGGATTGGATTGATCTGGTTCAGGATAGGAACCAGTGGAGGGCTCTTGTGAACACAGTAATGAATCTCGGGTTCCATAAAAGGCTGGAAAATTCTTGAGTGGCTATAAAATTGGCGGGTTCTCAAAAAGGGCTCAGCTCCATAACTAAGTTCAATATCACTTCACCCATATCCTTTGGGTTGGATTTGAGTGAAGTGCTATTAAACTTGGCCCCCCACCCTTTCCAAAAAAAAAAAAAAACGGAATAAGAGCCTCTGCAGTTCTGAAGTACAAGAGATTAGGTTGCAAATTATCTGGAGAAAGTTTCTCACTAGTGCCTGGAAAGTTATAACGTTTCTTTCACATGAAACGCATCTTTAACCAAAGACACTGAACACTGTGAACCGTAACATACATGGAATACTTTTATTTAGGAAAGCTGAAGGTGGGGAAACTTTTAAGAATATTCTGTTTTCGTCAGAGATACATATATTAAACTCCATAATTTCCTCAGACTGCATTTAATGATAGAAGATATGATATATTCATCTTCTCCAGTTCAGTACAGGGCAACATAATATGGCAGAAATAATAATATATCTTGAAGAAATATAATGAATACTGAAAATGTGGTATCTATTCATATTCCAGTTCAGTAATGGAAAGGATTATATGGAATAAGCAATATATCTTAAAAAATGTAATGAATACTGAAAATCTAGTATCTGTTCATCTTCCAGTTCAGTACTGGATAAGATTATATAGCAAAAATTAATAATAATATCTTAAAGAAAAAAAATTATTATTGAAAATCTTATGTTCATGTTCACCAGTTCAGTACAGGTAGGATTATATAGCAAAAGTAAGAGAAGGAATACAGCTATTACAACAAAAGTGAATAACAATGTAACGAAATTGAAATAGGTAAAGAAATTACACAAATAGTCCTACCCACATTCAACCCTGATACTGATTCTGCTTCTCAGAGTTTCACACTGAGCTGGATAACCTGAATTTTGCAAGTAAATTATAAGGTAATTTTTTAATTGTTTCATTTTTGGTCCGTTACACTATCAATCACAGAGTTAGTAGAGAGTCCGTCGAGTGTAACAATTTGTAGGTCACTTTTCTAATATCAATTCTGCCTTACATGTTTCGGTTTGACATCAAAAACAACGACAGTGTTCCCATAGTTATAGCAAGTGCCTCTGATGATGGTTGTATCAAACCGAAACATGTAAGGCAGAAGTGATATTAAAAAAGTGACCTACAAATTGTTACACTCGACGGACTCTCTACTAACTCTATAAGGTAATGCTTCTTCATTTTTACCTACACATAAACAAGACCCATGTGAGTCAGAGAACAATTTCCCACATAATTCTCGAATTAAATTTAATCACCAGAAGATAAAAACAGTAAAGAACCAAGGGAATGACAGTCACAGGAGAGGAATACAAAGGCATTTTGGTAGGATAAATTGAAGGACTTGTTGGGGATACAAATAGAATATTCAGATGGATGTTGGGAGAAATGGAGCCAAGGGGGCAAGGTGTGGACAGGATTCATTTATTATTATTTTTATTGGAGTGAGAGACCATTTCGTACTTTGGCTAGTTGTAGCTTGGTCTACCAATCCTAGATGACGGTGATTCCAGAGAAGATGCTGGAACGAAGATTTGCAGTGGAAATTGAAGTACTTGGAGAAAATCTGTCGAAAAGCCTGCATAACACCAATAACAACACGTGTTTCACTTAGCATTCCACCTTCTTATAAGCAAGAATTCTTCAAGCAAACAAGATTTGTAAATAAAAAGGGAAACTTTTGAATACGCTGTGGACGAAGGGGAAATCTTAACATTCTTGAAATCACTATAAAACATCACTACACCTAACTCTATATATTACACACAAAAATATAACGTCACACTAGAGAATTTAAACTTCACTTTACACTCGACATTATTGTGACAAAAACAACATACATTATACAAACCTCACTCTGTTACACAGAACTAAGATATAAATTCAAAAAATAACTTCTTCAAAGGGAACTAGAGATTCAGTTTGCGCATTCTTCTTACAAGTACTGATACCAATGAAAAAAAAAGTATATCATTCTCACTAATAACCTACTCACACGTGTAATATTCAGAGGTTACATACCAAAAATACATGCTGTAGTCTGTCATATCAAATATGCACTCATAAAATCTAATTTACTCACTATCCATATAACCACTAAAACACATTTTGTGCAGATCACTGTACATACTTCATACAAGACTATTAATAACTGTGAAAGAATAACCTCAAAGACACATTGTCTTTCACTACACACCCACTATTCTTAAATGCAATTATTTCGTACAGAGAAAACATGTTTTTAAATTTTGTGCACTCGCCATTACTCGGTCGAGGATAATACACACATTAAAGCCTAACATTTGCACTGTCATACTGAATCTTTTAAGATATATTTTCAGGCAGATAATTAATCAGAACTTGCACATACATGTATATATACATACACACATAACACCCCTTTATTATTTATAAACACCTCTTCATACAGGGAAAAAACATACATTAATTTTGTACACCGGACAAGTAAGTCACAGTGACAGGGCAGCCAACCTCTTAACATGACTGAAACAGGAACATTCCACAATCAGTTCGTTTATAGGACGGTAATTTTCCACCTGAATTCTTCCCCTTTTTCGTGTATAATAATATTCTGATTCCTATCCAGGAAGGGAAATTCGGGGGAAACAAATGCCAAGCAGTCACTGAATTGGACGCCTATCCATCCACGAAAAAGAAGGGAACGATTTCACTGGTAATAAAGTTTTCCGTCATGACATTATGTCATCGGAGGTAAGCATAATGCCGTAATATGTGATATTCAGTAATCACTTGAATCACTGTGGGAGGTGCGCAAACTCGTGAGGTAAGAGCGGCGTTTGCGACACAATCCAAGCTATCACGTAGCATTATAACCTCGGAATATAAGAGCACAGATTGATATTAAGGGTGGAGAAAGAGTCAACACTCTCAATTTTATGCCTAACGTCATATTTCGATTTATATTCTATGATACGATAGTCGTATATTACGTTCCGTTAAATAGCAGCTTCGAAAATGACGTCACAGTTAGGTGTGCGCGATGAACTACTGCGCATCCACCTCTAAATCAGGGGTACCATTCGCTTACGTTAGGTTAAGTTAGATTAGATTAGGGTTGAGAACTAGACTAGAGCGCACCCATCTGTAATTCAGGGGTACCATTCGAATATGTTAAGTTAGTATAGGTCAAGTTGGGCTCGGTTGGGTTGGGTTAGGTTTGCGCAGTACACTACTGCGCATCCATCTGTATCTTGGAGAGGGCATTGTTCGGTAATATACGATAACATTAGGTTGTGAGAACATTATGACGGGCGTAAGCAAATGACTACTGCGCAACGTTATACTCAGTTGAGCACGGTTTGGCGGTAGACAATATCTTATGATTGAACGTCCCTGATAGCGTATGTAATTATTATATATTTATACGGGACATTTTATATCCGAATTCTCTCACATGATAAACACTTGCATAGATTTTTCTGTTAAACTCTCTACGTAATCTATGAAACCTGGAATATATTACGATATTTATAATGGTCATAAATGCATTTTTTCCGAAATATTGATATTTCAGAACCATCTCAAGTGCATGATGTCACAATTATCGTCATTAACTCTTACATTTTCCAACTTTTCCCGAAATATTCTCTTTTCCAATGGTCCAATTATTTACTTTATTATGTTTCTCGACATACGGGAAGGAAATACATTAACTTTATACTTAAGGTATCCACCCCATAGTATGTGCTCAAATATTAGATAGGGAAATCACTGATTAAGATCTGAACCTTAGAAAATATCATTCAACAATCTTCTAAGCATTAAAACAGAAAACGAACACATCAGTATATATGTTCTAGATTAAACTATAAAATACAATTACAAGAATGTCAGCTGTAACAAATTGTCCTTTCCTGTAACCAATGTGATTCACTTAGCAGTCTAATAGATGGAAAGAATATAATTCCCTGATGCTGTATAATACCTGCTAACAAATGTAAGCCTGGAAGATCATATGGCAACAATGTAATCCATTGTCTATCACACTGAAATACACACCCGACTTACAAATCACTTCCCATTATTCTTCATCCTATAACACATACTCTACACAATACTGCAATTTTGCAATCTCATTGAACGGGATTGCCTGCATGACCCCAATGACAACACGTGTGTCACTTAGCATACCACCTTGTTTAAGTAAGAATTCTTCCAGCTAAAAGATATGTACATAAAAAGAGGAAACATATTAATACGATGTGGATGAATGGAAATCTTAACATTATTGAAATCACTACATAACCTTACTACACATAAGTCTATATATATATTACACACAAAAATATAACGTCACACCAGACAATTTAAACTTCAGTCTACACTCGACATTAATATGACCAAAACAACATATATTATACCCACCACTCTCTGTCACACAGAACTAAGTT